ATATTAGTATATATGAGAGCTAGAATACATAACACACAGAAAACTAATTAAATTGAAGACGGTCATTACATTTTGTGTAACTTTTTATTAACTTTTCAAATACCATTGTGTTTTCCGCGCGCTATGACATGTCCTACAAACGAGGCTTGTAGCGAGTACTTAACGGTAGGCAGCGGCTTGGCTCTGACCTGGCATTGTTGAGGTCCATGGGCGACTGTAACCACTCATGCCGTGAACTTTGTGGCGATTAGCCAACATACAACGCAAGATAGTTGATAGATACCTGAATCTCGCTTACGCCATTTTCAAGATAAGCTTGCATAATACAAGTTCCGACCAACAATATTCGGAGCGTCGGTCTACCGAGCAATATCAGCCACTCGGTGGAAGATCATCCTCTTATCGTATAACCTACAGCCGTATACTAGTATGCCTATAAAGGCAATAAAAAATACAAGTTCATAGTGAATACGGACTGTCGCTTGGCTGGGGTAGTGGCGGTAACCATTTAGCATCACGCGTTTGACTGGTTCGTCTTCGGAAACTTAAGGACTCGTCCATGCACCAAATTCTGCAAGGTTTTTGAAGGGTCTTGTGATTTTAAAAGCCACTCAAAAGCGAAAGTTGTTATTGGCTTAAAATAATACTAGATAATGACAGAGTTATGCTCGTTTTTTTTTTTTTTTTGATAAAATGCGTTTTTTAGAAATTATATTTAAATACGAATTACATATTGATAAAATGATGAAATATGAATAGTATTTTTTGATCTTACCGAAAGAATAATAATCAAAAATGAACTGGCTATTTAAAGAAAAAATCAAAATTATCGACAAAGTTGATTATTGAAAAGAGGAATAAAACAACATTTTCTGAAAATAAATCGTAGCTAGATCGATTTATCGCCCCCGGAATCCTGTATACTAAATTTTATGAAAATTGTTGGAGCCGTTTCCGAGATGTATATTTTATATAGATTTCCGATATATACATGTAAAAGAATTGCTCGTTTACAGATATAAGATAAATCAAATTTCTGGTTTAATGCCGGGTTGACTTCCTAGTACAGAAAGCGGTTATTCGTGATGCGCCGCTATGTCAGAGCTTAGGGTTCGACTCAGGAGGTTAGGACGTGAAAGTTACTACATTACAACGCCTAATCAGCCGTTCAAACCGAAACACATTACTGCTTTACGGCAGAACTATGCAGGACGGTGGTACCTACCCGTGCGGACTTCCAAAACGTCGAACGACCAGTATAAACCATTAAACTTTTTTTTTTGTGATTGAATGATTACTGGTGGCCTGGAGGCCTTTCCAGTTTCACCAGGACAAATGGGCGAGCAGAGGCTCAACCAGGAGAGATGGGATTTACTAACAACTGCTCGAGCGCCTCCGAAGGAGCAGTTGCTTCGCGAATGAATCTACTACCGGATCGGAATCGCGACCCGCTGAGAAGATCCGGCGAGAAACTCAGCGGGCTGATGCATGGATTAGGTTGCACGTCGTCCTCTTTGTCGAATTCGACGAGTGCGGTTACCGGGGATAAGAAACCACTAATTCCGACCGAACATAACGTGATTGCAAACAACCACCATTGATTTCAGCCGACACCGGAGACGATGACAATTAATTTAGGCTTTAATCAATACTAGATCGTACCAGATATTTCTAATACTATCCTACAAAGTAACAGTTTAATTACGAGTCATCTGTGTTTTGAGTAGGCACGTTTTTAACCTACTTCAAAAAAGGAGGAGGTTCTTAATGCGACGATTTTTTTTTCAATGTTTGTTACTTCATAACTTTTGACTGGGTGAATCGATTTTGATGATTCTTTATTTATTAGAAAGCTGACGCTTCCCGTGTGGACCCATTTCAGTGTTCCAGTTCTGATAATGGCATCCATGAAAAAATCATATAAGTCTTAAATTTGCATTAAGTACGTGCGCGACAAATAGATGAATAACTCAATAACTCAACATCACGCCAACCGATTTCGGTGATTATTGTTTTTAGTGTATATTAATTTGTTTTGAATATCTTTTTTTTTCTATTTGAAGTCGGTTTTTGTTGAAGCACGTCTATTTACAATTATTTATCTAACATGTTAATCAAAGTGTCTTTATTCAACATTAATTATAAATTTTTTCTAAGGGATTAGATCATGTAATGCGGGGAGAAAATGTGGATCTACTAAAGAAATATTTGTAAAGACCATACGCAATTGAGGTCGCGGGAGCTTTCAAAGAGAAATGAGTTCAAGGCGAGCTTTTGGACCTTGAGCTTACTTACGAGCAAGGTTTCGGTTGAAAAAAAAGATTCTCATTTATTTATGACGCGCGCGTTTTGTGATATAGTATTATATTGCATTGAAATCTTTGATTGCATTCTGTTACTAAAATCCTTCGTGGATTACTTTAGCCTCTGTCCACATCGTCCGTAGCTCTACATACCTAAATCTTTAGAAGTCGTCGTGGCCTATAGGATAAGACGTCCGGTGCATTCGTATGTAGCGATGCACCGGCGTTCGAATCCCGCAGGCGGGTACCAATTTTTCGAATGAAATACGTAGGTACTTAAGAAATCTTCACAATTGACTTCCACGGTGAAGGAATAACATAACGTGCAATAAAAATCAAAAAATTATAATTTGCGTAATTATAATACTGCTGGAAAGACGTGTTGTGAGTCCGCGCCGGTAGGTACCACCGCTCTGCCTATCTCTGCCGTGAAACAGTAATGCGTTTTGGTTTGAAGGGTTGGGCAGCCGTTGTAACTATACTGAGACCTTAGAACTTATATCTCAAGGTGGGTGGCGGCATTTACGTTGTAGATGTCTATGGGCTGGGCTGACCACCAGTAAAACAGTTAGGGTAGATAGGTTCTTAAAAAGGCCTGTGTAGTGCGAAACCATGTTATATGAAACTAGAAGCCAGTACAAAAAGTAGAATAATTTTTCTGAATGAAACATTTCAACTATGCCTGTATCTATTTTTTTACCTATTACACTTAAAAAATAAACAATAAAATTTCGCTTATTCCCATATATTGTGTGTTCATAGTGCATATTGTAATTATCTAAATAATATTAAAGAAAAATCTTGTTATCGCGTTGTATACCGTGTTATAAGACGGGTTACCTTTATGTATAGACAAATGCGCATCGACATATTGTTTTATTGATTTTACAATATCACACGCACACAACAATTGCAACAATGTTGTGTTACGTGTTATCAGATAAGGATAAAGTGATTGAAAACCAATTGATAACGCAGTGTTTGTGTTTATTGAGGAAAGAGACTTAGTTTCGCGACAATACATCCTATATAATTGGCTAGCTTCTACCAGCGCTTTCTTTAGCTTTTTACTGGCGATAGGACCTCTTGTGAGTCCGCACGGGTAGGTACCACCACCCTGCCTATTTCTGCCGTGAAGCAGTAATTCGTTTCGGTTTGAAAGTTGGGCAGGCGTTGTAACTATACTGAGACCTTAGAACTCATATCTCAAGGTGGATGGCGGCGTTTACTTTGTAGAGGTCTATGGGCTCCAGTAGGCACTTAACACCAGGTGGGCTGTGAGCTCGTCCACCCATCTAAGCAATACAAAAGAAAATGTGGTTCCCATCAAATCTCATTGCTTTTTTTTCCTACCTAAGCTGGTAGCCTTAAAGGCTAAGCCAGTGAGGACATCAATGAAATTGAGCACGGAACAGTAATTTAAGAGCCTAATATATCCAATATTATATGCCCTCATTTGGTGCTAATATATCGTCTTCTCGCATTAAAACTGTATAATCTTAAAACTTGCAAATTTTACAGAAGAGAGTGTTTAACATGTATTGTGATATTTTTAATATTAATCATCTTGGCAACATTTATTTTTTATTTTTTACCAGTTACAGTATCTGTCTTTTAAAGTAAGATAGAAATATGTATTAATTTTGTTAATAGTAGTCAAAATATACGTAAACTCAAAAAAAAAAACTAAAACTAAATTACGCTTTTTTGACGGTATTTATGAGAAAAATACTAGTGATACCAAATGATTCCGCATATCAACTCAATTTCGAATATTTTTGGAAATTGTACTTTTAATGCGAAAAAGCGATATATACATTGAAGTCGTTGGAAGACCAGCATGCTGCATATAATTGGTCATGGGCATAATAATAATAATAATAATAACTGGGAACCAATCCACGCACGTTCGCCCGGCCCCAAATTAGGATTCCCTGTGTTATGGGTACCAGACATTAACATACATACTTATATATGTTTAAATATAGACATATGTAGATTATACATATGTACCTAGATAATAAACATCCAGACAACGCTAACGAACCCGTTTTTCATACGAATGTTTGCTGTATGCCGGTCCAAACCTCCTACGAGGCTCCCGCGCCTAGGGGGCGCGCGTGGTATTGACGGTCTGCAGATGTTGGGAGCAGACCGCGGGCCCAAGGACGTTTTAGAGCCCTACCGAACTAAACGACTCCCCTGCACTCTTACATCCGACTTCCGATCTCCGTCCGGGGTCAGCACCCGGTCACAGAGTAGGGGGGCCACCCAGACCGATAAGTATGGCACCAACAAGTCAGCCAGGGCCACCCAGACCGATAAGTACTGCACCAAAAAGTCGTCCGTGACCTCAAAATGTACCCCCTCCCTCCCACCTACAATGATGGTTTTTTTTTTGTTGCTGAGATGGGTGTTCGAGCTCACAGCCCCACCTGGATTTAAGTGGTTACTGGAGCCCACAGACATCTACGACGTAAATGCGCCACCCACCCAGAGATATAAGTTCTAAGGTCTCAGTATAGTTACAACGGCTGCCCCGCCCTTCAAACAGAAGTGCATTAATGCTTCACGGCAGAAATAGGCAGGGTGGCGGTACCCACCCGTGCGGAGTCACAAGAGGTCCTACCACCAGTAGATGGACCACCTACTTAGTGATTAGTCTTGGTGATTAATCAATTTTAATTCGTCTTACAGGTCGCTATAAAAATAATTGACAAATCAAGATTAGATGAAGACAATTTGAAGAAGACATTCCGGGAAATAGCAATAATGAAGAGACTGAGTCATCCGCACATAGTTAGGTTATACCAGGTGAATATATTTGTCTTTTTATTTTAAACTAGCTGACCCGGCAAACTTCGTAGTACCTCAATCGATAAATAAAAGACCTAAGCTTTTGTAGAAAATAAACTTAAAACAAACAAAAGGAATCTGTCCAGAAAAATTTTATTTTTATTTACCTTTTAAACCTTCTCTGGACTTCTACAAATAATTCAAGACCAAAATTAGCCAAATCGGTCCAGCCGTTCTCGAGTTTTAGCGAGACTAACGAACAGCAATTCATTTTTATACATAGAGACTAGCGGCCCGCTCCGGCTCCGCTCGGATCTTTAACAACGATATTTGACGTTGTTCTATTTAAAAAAAATAAAAGAACACTTATTGCGGCACAACTATAATAGTTAGACATAATGTCGCGACATTTTTTGTAAATAATAAAGTGTTCTACAAAGTCGTAGTACATTATTTTATTCTATCATCAATAGTTTTCGCAGGGCTCACGATATAAAGAATATTTTAGGTATTTTTTTTACACTTTGGGTTACATTATTAGAGTTGTAGCAAGGATCCTTAATTTTTTTCAAAAAAGATTATAGCCTATTTCACTCGGGAATAGTGTAGCTTCTAAACAGTGAAAGAATCAAATCAAATCGGTTCAGTAGTTTCGGAGCCTATTCATTACAAACAAACAAACAAATCTTTTCTCTTTATAATTATAAATATTAGTATAGATTGTAATTCACATTCGTGGATAAATTTTGGTGTCTGCGCTAGAGGCCAGACTTCGTAACCTTAATAGAGAGAATGAGGCACGCCTGATGGAGAAAATTGCGAGTGATAATAATAATATGACCGAGTTTCAAATCCTGCAGGCAGAAATTAAGGTATTTAACTTTGCCTTTAGTACTGTCTATTGGTGGTAGGGCGTCTTGTGGGCCCGCCCGGGTAGGAGCTACCACTCTGCCTATTTTTACCGTGAAGCAGTAATGCGTTTCGGTTTGAAGGGCGGGGTAGCCGTGGTACTGTAAAACTGAGACTCAGAACTCGTGTCCCGAAATGCTTAGCGCCCATTACCATAACGATGTCCATTTATGGTGACCATTTAACACCAGATCGGCCGTGAGCTCGTCCATCCATATAAGCAATAAAAAAGAAGAAAAAGAAACTAAGGATTGATCAATAGAAACTGTCACGCAACGTCACGCCTCTGATCTTCGACTTGCCATAAAAAATCTTTAAACACAATGACGTAAAGTTCAAATCCGATGCGTTGTTTACTATAAACTTGTTTCTGTAAATTTCGATCTTAAACAATTGGTTTAAAGGCGAAATTCTAAACAATAGTATTCAAAATGGTTTTTTTTATTATTGCAAATATGGGTGGACGAGTTCATAGACATCTACAAGATAAATGCACCACCCGTTTTGAGATATAAGTTCTAAAGTCTCAGTATAGTTACAACGGCTGCCCCACCCTTCATTCCGAAATGCATTACTGCTTCACGGCAGAAATAGGCGTGGCGGTGGTACCTACCCGTGCGGATTTACAAGAGGTTCTGCCACCAGTGAATTTGAATTGAAAGTAAGTTCTGTTCTAGGTGGTACCGCGATGCGCCCCATTTTATTTATTTATTGTAAATTATAACACTTAACACGTGCACATTTGTAATGTAATAAAGTATTGTGTACGTATATATTCAGGCACTAATTTAATGTTTCAATACTAAGTCAGTTGTGAATTGGCTGACATCATTTTTGTTATTTTGTGATTCTTCAGGTGATGGAGAGCACCCACACGATTTATTTAGTAACAGAATACGCACCGAACGGTGAAATATTTGGTAAGTTTTAAAATTTATTTCGATAACTTATGAAATATACTCACCTTCGTTCAAGGACTTCAATGTTAAGGGTAGTCTTTTCAGGACTCCTTTGGGGGATGTGTCATGGCGCTCTGTGAACTCCGTGTGATGAAATTCCATATTTTTTTACTGTCCTTATAGGCAGACGAGCATACGGCCCACCTAATGTTGAGTGGTTAGTGTCGCTCATGAACTTCAGCAATGCCAGGGGCAGAGCCAAGCCACTGCGTGCCGTATCTTCTAATGGAGGTCTGAATTTGAGGCTACTGGGTCCACACAGCTAGAAAAACAAAGATCTGGAGCTTATGCTTAACAAGAGACCTAGTATTTTCAGCCGGAGGTTTGTGTTCCCTGTGTTTTGACTAGAACAAGGATGAACAACACGCCTGGAGCCTATGTTTATCCAATAGTTCGCGAGCTGAGGCTTGGCGCACACTGATTAAATGGGGTTTTGGTAATTAGGACCATAACATACCTTAAAACAATTTTTTATTTTTTTTATTGCTGTGGACTGTGAGTGGACGAGCTCACAGCCCACCTGGTGTTAAGTGGTTACTGGAGCCCATAGACATTTACGACGTAAATACGCCACCCACCTTGAGATATAAGTTCTAAGGTCTCAAGTATAGTTACAACGGCTGCCCCACCCTTTAAACCGAATCGCATTACTGCTTCACGGCAGAAATAGGCAGGGCGGTGGTACCCACCCGCGCGGACTCACAAGAGGTCCTACCACCAGTAAAAAATTGCCAAAGGTTTCCAGTTTTCCTCGAGTGATGCGCTTAAACTTAAAGCTCGTTTCGGGTCACAATACGTCCTGCCACCAGTAAAATGTTCCAGATCACTTGGTGTCCAGGGGTCGTATGACGGAGTCGGAGGCGGCCCGAGCTTTCTCCCAGATGGTGGCCGCCGTGGGGTACTGCCACGCGAACGGTGTCGTCCACCGCGACCTAAAGGCTGAGAATTTACTGTTAGACAAAAACATGAACATAAAGGTGAGACGGGCTTTTGGGAACCATTGAAGTTACCGGGTATTGTGACTTATGGTATTGTGATAAGGCTTTTTTTTTTGTAATAGGCGAAATGTTGGAGCATGCTGGTTAGTGATATAGCCAGTTACCGGTCTTTGTTCTTTGAAAACAAATCTGCCTGTGCAGAATATTGACAGACGGGCTGTTCTCCATAAACCGAAGTCTTAATCTATGACCCTTTTGAATTTTGGTCCCGAACGAACCACGAGCGCTACCTCTTTTTTTCAGTATAGTTACAACGGCTGCCCCGCCCTTCAAACCGAAACGCATTACTGCTTCACGGCAGAAAATAAGCGGGGTAGTGGTACCTACTCGTGCGGACTCACAAGAGGTCCTACCACCAGTAATATATTTCTTTGCCAACCCATGCCCTTTTCTCTCCTCAGTTAGCAGATTTCGGCTTCAGCAACGAATATAGAACCGGAGGAGCCCTGAGCACCTGGTGCGGGAGTCCTCCGTACGCAGCGCCCGAGCTCTTCGAAGGGAGACAGTATGATGGACCCAAAGCCGACATTTGGGTACGTTCGAAATATATTAGCGTAATTTTTTTATTATTATTTATTTATACAGAAATAAAAAAAATATATGATGCCGTTAGCTCAAAAGTGGCCTAAGCTTATCATAGTTAGTATGGAGGCAATTAGATTTGAATTATCATGAATTTGAATTTGAGTAAGCCAAAAAACAATCCGCGCAAAAATAATGCTTACAAAGCTATCTGTTATCTATGGATGAAACTATGGATAGGCCGGTGTTACATCAAAAATTATTATATTTTAAATAAATTCCAATATACGTCATACAAGCTTGAATAATAATATACAAAATTACGGGTTAGGCCACTTTTGCGCTGATGGCCTCATATATACTAGAACAATGAACCTAAAACTAAAAACCTTAAAAAATAATAATAATATAATAACTAAATTATATTATTAAAAGGAGTCCCTTTAGGCAAGGAAGATACCGGCAGCGTGTTACCCTTTGAATAGCTAGACTAATTCTTTATCCGAGGTAGCTGCCAACTCTTCGGTCTCCTGTGACGTCGACTAACCTTTTTGCTATTTCCTTAATAAGCCTTATAGGACCCCACGGAACAAGGCTCTCGACACCGAATGGGACAAAAACATATTAACATAAAAACAATAATCATTTCATATGTTTAATATGTACAAGAACAAGACCGATTTACTAAATAATTACCACTGGGTCTTTATTAGAGAGCCCTTGCGTGAGTAGAATATCACCCAAACTTTCCCATAGAAATGTGACGGTGAACAGTGATCGTTTTGCAGTCACTGGGCGTCGTATTATACGTTCTGGTCTGCGGGGCGTTGCCATTCGATGGGAACACCCTCCACGAGCTCAGGAACGTGGTCCTGAGCGGAAAGTTCCGAATACCGTACTTCATGTCACAAGGTCAGTAAGAGTATTTTCAGCGAATCCTTCAAATCCATCAAGGATGACACCCATATCGGGCTTATTGAATTAGGAAAGGGGTTGTGTGTGGGGGGAGCATCTCGCCATCTCTCTCTCGGACTCTCTCGGACGTACTTCCGTTTCTTGTCCTGTGCCTGGGGTCTTCTGCGAAGTCCCCGCGTCTAGGGGGCGCAAACGGCTCCCCTGCGCTTTCGCCTAAGCGTCCGATCCCCCGAGGTCCGAACCCGGGCGGGAATAGTGTTTACCTGGAAAAATGCTTAGTTTTTCCACGCTTCATTAGCTGGTCCTTTGTCTGTATGTTTATATAACGAAATATTTCAATGTAATCTTCATCGACTTCTAGAGGTCTGATTAATTCGACAATTTGCATATGTGTCAAGTACCGATAGCGATAAAATAATGCTACGCGGTATGAGTAACGCCAACTATCGCCGAATAACAGAAACTGTAGAGATATGCGACAAAGGGAAGATCTTCCAACGAGCTGGTTAAATTGCTCGGTAGACCGACGCTCCGAATGTTGTTCGAAACTTGTATATATGCACGCTTATGTTGAAAACGTCGTAAGCGAGATTCAGGTATCTGTCAATTTTTCTTGTAGTGTGTGATGGCTACCCGCCACAGAAACTAATATAAAAAAACTGGTAACATCGAGAACGCTCGAGAGGTACAACGCCATCTATTGTCAGATAGCGGAAACACACATCAAAGCTACTCGACTTGCCCAGGATATTCTCGATAAATCTAGGGATGTCGTCGTATCGACTATAAAAGCGTTGCAGAGATGACACGCAGTCAGTCAGTAATCGGATCTACTCGAAGCGAAACAGCGAATGGATCACCTGAAGCGAAGCGGAGGAAGTGAATTGAGAATTTTAAAATGTTCGTTAAGTGTTCTGATTGTTAATACAGTTTCAATTTGTACTTCGGTAGAATTTTTATTTATTCCGAACCTCAGCGCGTAACAATAATTTAGAGTGTTGCTACTGACTTATAAAGCGGCTGTATAACCCTGGCCGACCATTTAAAGTGGAGCTTAAGATTGCTTCACGGTAGGAATAGGTGAGATTTTGGTACCCATCGATGTGGTTCTACTACACAATGGGTATATGTGTCCCATTTTTGTTAGAAGATGCGGTTATAGACTAGACAGTCAGCTATTCCTGCTGTTTCTCAATTTCTTTCCTAGCGGAAGCGGTTTGATTTTATTGCATTTCTTATTCTACAATCAGTCTTTGTTATCGTTTTAGAATGCGAAAATCTAATAAGGCATATGCTGGTCGTGGAACCGGAGAAGAGGTTATCCCTGCGCGGTGTTGCCAGGCACAGGTGGCTGGCGGCACACCAACCTGGGCCAGGACCGGGCGATCGAGGTACGGCGACCCTGCTCTTTATTTAATTCCAGTTACGCATGTATGATAACGTCAGAAGGCAAGTCCGTACAAACGCGCAGAGAAGCAACGCATCCATTGCGGGCTCATAAACAGCTTACATATCATTAATCCTGTAGTTATGAACAATTTCAATCTTACGCTATTTCGTCACACAAGAAAGTCCGTTTGTGTTTAGCGATAGCTATTTCGAGTTAAGCATTGGTCATTAAGCCGCTTACAGTGTGATGAGATAGTCTCTTAAGATTTTGGATGTTTCAATTTCAAAAGTCATCCCTCCCAGAAGATATCTTTGTCTTCTTCGAGTTGTATTAGCCTGTCGAATCTGTTAAATAAATATATAGTATATATTTTTATTATTGACATCTGAATGAGCTCACTGTCTCACTCAGACTTCTGTAGTTCATTGATGTCTCAACGTCGCCATCCATCCTGATGAGGTCGGAACCTGGATTGTACAACGAAATGGCTGTCCCACCATTCTAACTGGAATACAGCCCCATCCGCAAATAACTTACGTCAATATTTCATTACCGACTTCCTAATTAAACTGGTGGGGGTAAGTCCGGCTGATTATTCCATTATATTTATGCCGTTTTTTTCTTTGCTTCGGTGGTTGGACAAGCACACGGCACACTCGGTGTTAAGTAGTTACCGGAACCCATAGACATCTACAACGTAAATGTTGCCACCTACCTTGAGATATGAGTTCTAAGGTCTCAGTATAGTTACAACGGCTTCCCCTCCCTTCAAACCGAAACGCATTACTGCTTCACGGCAGAAATAGGGCGGTGGTACCTACCCGTGCGGTAAGCTCATAAGAGGTCCTCCCACCAGATTAACAAGGCAATGGCGTCCACCATGTCTCGGGATGGCTGATGGTGGGACCCCTGTGATGTGTGGGCTTAAATGCTGGTTTGAAGCAGTAACCTTTTAATTATAGACGCGTCGACCGGAGCCTGCATATGTCACACGTCTATGTCGCAGACCGAACCCGGGGCCTCGGAAACTGTTATGGCGCATTTGCTCACGCTCCCCGGGCTCACGAAGGAGCACGTACAACAGGTATTGGTGGATATCAGATATTTTTTTCAATTTTTTTTATTGCTTAGATGGTTGTACGAGCTCAGAGCCCATTTGGTGTTAAGTGGAGCCTATAGACATCTACAACGTAAATGCCGTCACCCACCTTGAGATAAAACCGAAACAAATTACTACTTCACGGCAGAAATAGGTAGAGTGGTGGTACCTACCTGTGCGGACTCACAAGACGTCCTACCACCAGTGTATTTGTAATTTTACATTGTAATGTAATTATTTTAACATCAACCCAATACTACCAATCTATGGTTAGTATAATTTTTCTTACCTAAAATGACGACATGCTTAATATAAAGTTCTGTTCGACTGAGCATTTTAAAGACTATTCGCGATGCAATCCATGGTCACGTTCTGTTAAAAATTTCAAACTGCACTGATGATGGTGAGAAATTGAGGAAGCGGCATAGATTCTCATCATGGCCAATGGACCGAATGAAGTCAATTTCAAAGCTAGCTCTCGTGTTTACAGAACTTGATGACCTTTGATTGAATATCCAACTGAAACCTGCAGCTACCGAAGATGTTACATATTAAAATGTTTCCTCAATACGCCTTCCCACCAAGTGCCTTCATATTAGGTTAGAGATGTCGGTGGCCATTCTCCGATGACCCCCTTAGTCTCCTTATGACTCTCACAGGAATATATGGAAGTTCTGTCGGAAGTTAATTAATCAATTTACTGGTGGTAGGGCCTCTTGTGAGTTCGCGCGAGTAGGTACCAACATCCCGCCTATTTCTGCCGTAAAGCAGTAATGCGTTTCGGCTTGAAGGGCGGGGCAGCCGTTGTAACTATACTGAGACCTTAGAACTCATATCTCAAGATGGGTGGCGCATTTACGTCGTAGATGTCTGTGGGCTCCAGTAACCACTTAACACCGGATGGGCTGTGAGCTCGTCCACCCATCTAAGCAATAAAAAAAACTACACATAGCCACAGGAACTGGCGTTATCGGTAACAGGTGGCGTCTTATGAGAGCCCCCATGGGTATGGGCCACCACCCTTCCCTATTTCTGCCTAACGAGCCATGCTTGGAGCTCCCCTCACTGGTCAAAACGAGCTGACCCTTGATAAACAAACTAAAAACCACATCGTTCCATTTCAGTCGGTGCAAGAAGAACGCTTCGATCACATATCGGCCATCTACCACCTCCTCATGGACAAGCTCGAACAGAGAAGCAGCGCCCGGAGTAGCCTGCAGCACAGAGGTGGGTCTACTCGAAAGACCCTCATTTGTCGAGACACACCCCGTATATTGACGGTACTGGTTCTGGATTGCCCTCGGAGCGCACAACCGTACCAGACCACATCGCAAGTGGTCAAGGAACGCAAGGACCAACACGCGATTAGTCCTGATTTGTAATATCATTGGCGCTGGCTAACCCATAGACACAACCCACAATTCAGCGAAGCACTGCTCTTGCTAGGGCTAGTGTGAGTTCCGTGAGCTCACCTACTTCGGTGAATCTAGTATGACCCTTCGAGGTTACTAGAGTAAGAATGAACAAAAAAAACTTGTTTGACAATAGACCCGTCTCTCTCTAGCGCAGCGTATTTTAATATGAGTGACCGAGACAGATATAGTTTTATGATTATGCCGTATGTTTCCAGATTCCCTGGACTCGACCACCGGTCTGCCGTTGGATCTCACTAGTTGTAAGGTAATCTATGCAAGTATTCTATCTCATACGCGTAGACTAAAAATCTAAAGTTTATCTCTTTTTAGTGTCACTTATTCGTTTCATTTAATTTTTATCGTGAAAAATTTAATAAATGCTATCTTAACCGAGCGCTTAAGTGTTTATGTTGAAAGACAATTCAACGTGTTAGTGTGGTCCATGGTCCGCAAGTGCGCCAGAGTCGTAGGAGGCGTACGTATGTTGTATATGGGCTGCATTAATTCGAGTGTTACTATGTCCCCTACAAAACCCGAATTTATAACTACTAACATTTATTCGGCGATGGAAATTCGACCGTAATGACTGATGTCTTAAGATTCAAATTTGTTTTAGTACTCTATGAAATTAGGATAAAAATCATTGGTATTGGGAATACTAAAAGCTCTGTTCTGTTGCTATTGAACATCAATATATATAAACCTTTTAATAAAATAAACGTAAAATTATACTCAACTGTATTGACATGCCTATTGGCTTATATATAGATATCTCAGTTTGAAATACAGTAAATATGCAACTCTTGGTACTAAAGTAATTGTATAAGTGCATTCTGAATTAACTATTGAATAATTCTGTTTTTTTGTTTAATATAATTGTCATACATTTATGGATGGTATCATGCAAGAGAAACAAACAAACGTATTTTATTAAGTGACATTTTTGATTAAAAACCTACTGGACATGTTCTGATTAAAATTCGTTTTACAGAATTCGGAAGACGAGGAGATGGATGCGGAGGATTCTTCGAACCAGGATTCTCTGATATCGTTACCCAATCCTGAAGCGTCGGTGGACTACCTGACCGACGGACCCGAGGCCCTGGAGAAGGTAAGGGCTCTGGATTATGACAGCTGAAGTTATCTCAAGGTCAATTCAGTGTCAAACCTCCTACCACCAGTAATGTCGTTAATACATTTTCAGTTCGGTGACGGCTCGATACCAGTTCAAGAGGAGCGGACCCAGCAGCCCGCCAGCACCGGCGAGCAGCACGCCACCAGGCGGCACACCGTGGGGCCCGGCGACTGCAGACACACACAGGTGACACCCCTCTGACCCCCCGTGTGACCCCCCATCAACTTAACCACTGCTGCTCCTAGCAAACTGCTTGGAGGCAGTACCTATGTATGTATAAGCAAAGATAAATAAATAAAAATATTTTAGTGTTACCATTGCAATAATTCGAGAAATAAACAGATTTATAGCTTTATTTGGACCAGTTAAACCTTAAATATATAATGCATATAGATAACAAATTTAAAAAAAAGACGCTTAATTGAATTGAAAGCTATTGCAAAGCGAACTAAACAATAACGACATCAGACCAAAGTGTTGGACCCTGATAAGGGGTCAGCACGGTCTCCGCGGGTACTGACGCGCGCTGTGTCCCCAGGGCGGCGAGCTGAGCGCGTGCGGGGCCGCGGTGTCCGCCGACCTGCGCCCCTCCCCCCTCTACGTGTCCGCGCAGTTCAATGTGAGTATTATTTTTTGTTTTATTGCTTAGATGGGTTGACGAGCTCACAGCCCACCTGGTGTTAAGTGGTTACTGGAGCCCATCGACATCTGCAACGTAAATGCGCCACCCACCTTGAGATACAAGTTCTAAGGTCTCAGTATAGTTACAACGGCTGTCTCACCAATGAGTGGCGGCATTTACGTCGTAGATGTCTATGGGCTCCAGTAACCGCTTAACACCAGGTGGCCCGTGAGCTCATCCACCCAGTTAAGCAATATTTTTTTTAAATCTAATATGTCGTGCAATTTCCTCGCTAATAAAAGCCCGCATTAAGGACGTGACGTTTGTTCGTCAGCAGCAGGCCTCGCCGGACGTGTCGCTGCTGCCGAACACGAACCTCGCCGCCAAGCTGCCGGCCGTGCAGCACCAGCCCGCGCGCTACTTCAGCGTCAAGGACCAGCACCTGCTGAAGCCGCCGCACGCCATGCAGAGCCAAGGTACGAGCTACCTGCGGAGCTCAGTGAAGCAGTAATGCGTTTCGGTTTGAAGGGCGGGGCAGCCGTTGTAACTATAGTTGAGACCTTAGAACTTATATCTCAAGGTTGGCTCCGGTAACCACTTAACTGTGGGCTGTGAGCTCGTCCACCCATCTAAGCAATAAAAAAAAATGCCACCTTAATACATGAGTTCTGAGTCTCATTTTACAACAGCTGCCCCACCCTTGAAACCGAAACGCATTACTGCTTCACTGTAGAAATAGGTAGGGTGGTGGTACCTACCCGCGCGGACTCACAAAAGGTCCTACCACCAGTAATTACGCAAATTAGAATTTGGCGGGTTTAATTTTTATTACACGATGTTATTCCTTCACCGTGGAAGTCAATCGTGAACATTTGTTAAGTACGTATTTCAGTAGAAAAATTGGTACCCGCCTGCGGGATTCGAACACCGGTGCATCGCTAGATACGAATGCAACGCTACATACGCTACATACGACGTCTTATCCTTTAGGCCACGTGTCATCCAGCCATCAGCCAGGCCATTTAAGCAATTAAAAAAAATATCAGAAGATTGAGAACCGCTCGTCGTGTATACGTTTGTACGGAAGAATGCGATAATAGTTCTTGTTTTGTATACAACAGCGTCGACGTTCGGGCGTCGTGCTTCGGACGGAGGCGCCCACGTGCCCCGCTGCAGGGAGAGGACGTGCTGCCACCCCATGCCCTCGCATCACGTATGTCCTCTCGTTTCCTCTCAAACCCTAACAGCTGACTCCGCAGGGCATCTGGTCTCCAGTGCTGACCGTGGCTGCTTGACTGTTTAATCTTACACATCATGATCCTAGACTGTTCACGTTTTTGTTTAAGCTATTGCATAACTTTTATCGCGGGCTTAGAGCGCGGCGACCGAATCAATAAATTCCGTAACGAAAATAAAACCTAACCATGTAGCTACCATGTAGCTCGCGTTAAACACATTCACACGTTGCGCTTGTGTAGTGTTTGTAAATAAGCGCGTGGTGTGACGTCACACTGCATGCGCATCATGAAAAGTCTGCCCATCTCTCACTCGCGAGGTCTAGCTTGTTAGTATGAAGGGGACAGTTAATGTTTTGCTTTTGTTAATGTTTATAAATAATACTCTGTGCTGAACCAGTACAGCTGGTGCAGTGTCGGTTGTGGTCCGCAGGTGTCTGACAGCGGCGCGCCCCCGCGGCCCCCGGAGCCCGAGCACGGCGACGAGCAGGGCTCCGACACCACCTACAACAACAACCTCTGCAGGTAACTACGCGTCAATCGACTTTAAAAGCTTCAAAAGCCCACATACAACGGTCTGTCGTTTCAGAATTTCCACGGCTGTACCACACACGGACTGGTAGGACGGCATGGTGTAATAACTTTTATTTATTTATTGCTTAGATGGTTGGACGAGTTCACAGCCCACCTGGTGTTAAGTGGTTACCGGAGCCCATAGACATCTACATCGTAAATGCGCCATCCACCTTGAGATATGAGTTCTAAGGTCTCAAGTATAGTTACAACGGCTGCCCGGCCCTTCAAACAGATACGCATTACTGCTTCACGGCAGAAATAGGCAGGGTGTAATTACGCAAATTATAATTTTGCGGAATTGATTTTTATTACACGTTATGTTATCCCTTCACCGTGGAAGTCAATCGTGAAGATTTCTTAAGTACGTATTTCATTAGAAAAATTGATACCCGGTTGCGGGATTCATCGGGGTGCATCGTTACATACGAATGCACCGGACGTCTTATCCTTTAGGCCACGACCACTGTTTGAGCAATAGAGAAGATGATTGTAACATGAAGATTCCAATGTGCTTGGTGCGACAGGTACATGATGAACCGGGGCAGCAGCAAACGGCACACCATGGCGACGCCTGAGGATGCGGCCAGCGTCGCCACGTCCGCCGCCGCCGGACACATGGTGAGCTACCAACAATCTTGTAACGGACAAAGAGATGATATATCGTCTTCTCGCATTAAAACTGTATAATCTAAAAACTTACTAATTTTTTTTTTTTTTTTTTTTTTTTTTTTTTTTTTTTTTTTTTTTTTTTTTTTTTTTTTTTGTTTTTTNCTACCCGTGCGGACTCACAAGAGGTCCTACCACCAGTAATTACGCAAATTATAATTTTTGCGGGTTTGATTTTTACTGCACGATGTTATTCCTTCACCGTGGAAGTCAATCGTGAACATTTGTTGAGTACGTATTTCATTAGAAAAATTGGTACCCGCCAGCGAGATTCGAACACCGGTGCATCGCTCGATACGAATGCACCGGACGTGTTTTTACGTTAATTTTACGGGAGAGTGTTTTAAAGGTCTAACATGTGATATTTTTAATAGTAATCATCTTTGCAACGTTTTTTTTTTACCAGTTACATATTATTATCTGTCTTTTAAAGTAAGATAAAATTATGTATTAATTTTGTTAATAGTGGTCAAAACATAGGTAAACTAAAAAAAATTTAAACTAAACTACGCTCTTTTGACAGTATTTATTAGAAAAATACTGGTGATACCTAATGATTTTGCAAATTGTACATTTTTAATGCGAAAAGACGATATGAAATCTATAATCTAAATATTTATTTATTTATTTTTATTTATAACTTTATATACTAGAGTTTACTAGACAGTATAAAGGCGGACTTAATGCCATAGGCATTCTCTGACAGTCTGTCTTAGGGGAGTGCAGAGATGATCCTTGGTAGGTGTAGATATTAGGTACTTAAATGAATATATATACATAAATATGTATATACTTATAGAAATATATATAAATAAATATTATTAATTAGATGACATTGCTAACTCTCTGAGAAACAATCCTCGAACCCTCGTCTTAAACGCTTCACGTATATTGGCCGACCCTATTTTGAGTGGGAGCGCATTCCATAGAAGAACATCTAATTTATGAACTTAAGTTATTCGTTAAGTGAATTTATTAATACTAGTAGTCCCCCAGTAGTCGAAATTCGACTATAATTAATTGAAATTATAAGTTTGAACATTATTATGGTTCTGTGGTCAAAGACTTTTGTACTTCTATAATCACAGATTTCGCCAATACTACACTATAGACAAATAATATCAAAGACAAAATATTAATCTTTTTTTTCAATTTTACCACAGACTTAAGACCAATGTTTCCCAACCTTTTTTGTGCTATGCTCTACTGTAACGTTTCTAAAATTTTTATGGGCCCCATACATACTTTTTTATTTTGAAAAATTGATTTGTTTACTTAAGAAACATAAATGATAGGTTTTAGGAAGAAAACACAATGAAATTGTTATCACAACATAGTAAGTAATATTTCAAAACATATAATAAAAAACTGAAATTCAAATTCAAAATAATTGTTATACCAAAATTATCAAATTGCCCGCTTATGGGGCGTGAGCCCCACGTTGGGAAACACCGCTTTAGACAATAACAAAAGTTTGAGAATGAACAAAGAGTTTAAATATATATTAATATGTCTTGTGTCAAAAACAATCTTAGTGTGTATAATGTTTTTCTTTATTGATTTAATGTATTTTTTATGCATAATTAAATTATGTTGTAAATGATGATGTTGTACATGAGTTTTAAGTTCTCACTTTTAACCGTGCAACGGCTGCCCTGCTCTTCAAACCGAAACGATTCACAGCAGAAATAGGCAGGCTGGTGGTACCTACCCGCCCGAACTCACAAGGCTCATGTTTACGGGCTCATGTGAACAGTAAAATTAGCACGCGTTCTTGCGTCGGAAATAATAGTCAGTTCTAATGACGTCATAATATGTTAGTGAATAATTTACGCCTACCCTCCAGGCTAAGAGCAACCTTAACTTTATGATTCCTCAGCCGAATAGCACGCCGTCTTCGACTAACAGCATCCGGGTGCGGAGGACCGGTCTCCTGACGGTCACCGAGAGGCCCCCAGGTGAGACCTGACCCCCCTCCCTTCCCCTACTCCAAGCACCATATAGTAGCATTGGTAACAATCAAAGTGAAGCCGAAATATTTCTGCGCATAAATTTTAATATTAAATACACCCTAAGCAAATAAATAGTTACTGATGCCATTTTAAGTAATATTATAATGTCATTTGAGAAGATCTTTGATATTTTGATATATTGTCATTTAATTCAATTTAATTCAATGTTATCTGTTTATTAATTAAATTGGATTCGTAAACGAAATGTGGTGTAGTTTTTTATTAAAGCAAATTAATTTCTATTCGTACCAGTAGTAAGCGATATAATCGATTGCTGATATAAATATTTCACATTAATATGTTTTTTTTGTTTTGTTAAATCTATATAAAAAGCTTCAGTTTGCTTGTTGCAAATGCTCCAAACATTTCCCCGTAGTCTGAATACATAGTTGTGTTTTTTTTTAATAATCATTTTAACTCGACGGAAACGTTTTTTGAACTTAAGATCGTGTTGGCCTGTTTACTGGATATTTAAAATACGAGACAATGAGATTCATCACTGAAGGCAGGCGCTAGGGAATGATATACGCATTTTAAAATTTTATTTTGAAAGACAGCTATACGAAGTTGTATGAAAATTTAAGCAATGGGTTATTAGTTTAACTTCTTCAATGTGCATCATGTATTATGTTTGGTTTTTTTGTTTTAAAAAATATGTATTTTATTCTAAACTAAATGACCTGTAGGATTGAAGTGGCATAAGTAAAATTTTTAAGAAATTGAATTTTATACTTTGAACGCTTTATAAAGATGTATTCTATCTTAATATATATAAATTACGTATCACGTTTTTTCTCCGCGATGGACACTTAAACTACTGAACCGATTTTAACTTCTTTTTTTTTTAACATGTATATTGTTCCAACTTTGGCCATAGGAGGGTTTTTATTTCGATCAATGGTCGCAATATTTATTAATTAATAATAAAATGATTCCTTAAGTTGATTATTGTTATTAATTGTAAGTTTCATAAGTCTAAAATTTGTAATTGAAATTGTAACTTTTTCGATTTTAATACTTTTAAAGTATGCGCTTGATTTAAAAGAGAGCCTTTAATTTTTTCGTGTTGAAGCGATGCAACGGTGTTCGAATCCCGCAGGCGGGTACCAATTTTTCTAATGAAATACGTACTCAACAAATGTTCACGATTGACTTCCACGGTGAAGGAATAACATCGTGTAATAAAAATCAAACCCGCAAAATTATAATTTGCGTAATTACTGGTGGTAGGACCATTTGTGAGTCCGCGCGGATAGGTACCACCGCCATGCCTATTTCTGCCGTGAAGCAGTAATGCGTTTCGGTTTGAAGGGTGGGGCAGCCGTTGTAACTATACTGAGACCTTAGAACTTGTATCTCAAGGTGGGTGGCGCGTCTACATTGTAGATGTCTATGGGCTCCAGTAACCACTTAACATCAGGTAGGCTGTGAGCTCGTCCACCCATCTAAGCAATAAATAAAAAAAATAAAAAAAACAGATGGCGCCTTAAATCAGTTTTTACAGACAGTTGTAATTCTGTCTGACATTAATATCTCATAGATGGCGCTGTGTTAAAAATACCAACGTTTCTCATAAGCTACAATTTAATGGCAGAAACACCACATGTTCCTGAGGCTAGAGTATAAGTGAAATTTATTTCGTAGTAAACGAAATACAGTGAAATCTAATGGTTCTTACTTTGTTAATTTTTGGTATTAGCATAGCCGGCCGCGTGTTATTTAGAAACAAAACCTTAGCCACAGCAACGTGTGGCCGGGTCTGCTAGTCTGTATATAAAATTAAAAGCTCTCTTTTAAATCAAGCGCATACTTTAAAAGTATTAAAATCGAAAAAGTTACAATTTTTCAATTACAACTTTTTTTTTTTTTCAATTTTTTATGTTCACAAAAGAAACAATAATTTTGAGTTAGACCAATTCAATTCTATTCTTCGATATCTGGACATATTTTTGATTTAATCTTTACTCTCTATATTTATAGTTCTTTTTACTTAATGAACTATTTACAATATACATAAAATGAAAAACAAATCGCAATAAAGAAATTATATTAAATTCATGGTTTTTGTGTGTACTTTTAAAAAATTCGTCACTTAAGACTTAAGACGTTTTATGTCTTTACGAACTTCTGACAAATAAAAAAAAAACATTGCGTGACAAATTACCACACTTTCGCATTAATTGTTTTCTATGTATCGTAGAGTTAAAGGCTATTTGGTTTAAGCGACATTTCACTTAACACGCGACATTTGTCTTTAATTGTAATTAAAGGTCCGTTTAATTTGGTATCAGCATCAAGAGTTCGATGTTTTTAATTGAACTTTAATTAGGTTTAATCCATTCGGTAAATAGCTAAAGAAGTTTTTTTTGTTATGATATTTTTTCTAAATTTTAAACTTTAAACAGCTCTCCGGTAAAGTTTCAAAAATGACGCTTAAACCAAACGGCTTTTCACCCTTCGATTCGTTACGCCACGCTTTCACTAGATGGCGCTGATCACTGTTAATGTATATGCGGCGTGTTCAAAAAACGTTTCCTAGTGTATATAGAGCTTATTTTTGTTACTTTTTTTCTTTAAATATATTTTTGTTTCGCATGTTGCTCGATCTCTTTCACGCACAATTTTATATTAATTTGCTAATTTGTTTTTGTTTTCTTACGTAATTTTTTTTTTAGTCATAAGCCCCGAATTAGTGATGGAAGTCGAGACTCGAATGAAGAGGAACTATTTGCCCCCCTCGATACAGTACCAGGGATACCAAAGTCCGCCCACTCCGACCGGTTCTAATGCACAAAGCAATCAAAGTCCCACGCAAGGGTCGATAACCGCAGGGACCCCTTGCCCCCAACAGGGCCCAATGCTGTCCGTGCTGGAGCCAATGCAGCAGGGAACGATCACAAAAGGTTCAATCATGTCTGGCACCCCTATAACCCAATCTGGGCAAGCATTGCCCCAATATCCCAGTTACGCCACAGCCAGCGGCTCAATAACAGCCGGCGTCCCGAGAACCGACCATCCGACCTTCAGTTCCACAACCAATGCCCCCACAAACTTCGGCTCCAATCCCACCAGCATGAACTTCGGGAGTGGCACGCCCAACTTCGGCACCCCAATGAACCAATCGACGCCGAATTTCTCGACGACATTCGGCACGATGCCCGGGACTCCCCTGACCCAGGGGTCGGTGCCGAGCGGGTCCATAACCGCGGGCACGCCGGTCGTGGCCAATAACTACTCGAATAACCAATATAACAGGCAGAGGAAATATTCTGGGCCTCAGCGTGTGAAAATCCAAATGTTAGCTACAGTGCAAGAAATGGGTAATTTTCTCTATATAATACATATTTCCATTGGTGAAGGGTTTTATTTCAGGTTTATTCGTTTGAGATCTGTAATGGAGCTCATTAGGGTCTGTCCATATAGCAATTTTGGACCTGCGACTCGGGTCCCCTTATTAGGGTCAGGAGTTTGGACCTTATGGTCATGTTTGGGAACCACGAATACGGAATAGCCCAACACAGGGGTCTTATGTACTCCTGGCTACTCCCGTCCGAGTTCGAATTTTTAACTTATATTTCGTCCGTACTGCACTCTGTGGGGCATTATTGAGACAGTGACGTCACATGTCAGCAATCAATTAGGAGGTATATTTTAACTTTTTGGTTCTGCATGTCTATGTGTGTGTGTGTGTGTTGTGTGTGCACATGTTTTTTAACGTACGAACGTAGTGTGTATTTAAAAGTAGTTTTCAAAGCACTAGTTTTGAATGATTTTTTAGTACAATTGAAAATATATGTTAATCGTTGGTAAAGTTCATTACCCCGAATCCGGCAATCCTTACGAAGCGTTCGTATGAGTTTCAATGCAATATCAGAGCGGACGAGTTCACGGAGCGCTTGATGTTAAATGGTTAGCCGGGGTCTTTAGTCACTCCCACCCGTCACAACGAGACGCATCACTGATGGAAGGTAGTCCAGTGTCAGCTCACATTACCTCCACTACTGAAGACCGGTGGGCGATCGCAACCTACTAGTCGTGAGCGCTGCTTTGAGCTCTAGATCAAAAAGCTTTATATCTCTGGACGAGGACCATCAGTTCACATGTTCAAATTAATCTGGACAGCCCGGGAGCACGCGGAGAGGTACTCGCCAGTGCGGCGTGCCGAGTGCTCCCCACCCAGGGTCGCGCATGACATCGCGTCCGCCAGGCTGGAGTACCAGCAGCTACAGGTACGTCCGCAGCCGCCGAGCGGGAATTCCCCTTAAGTATACTGGTGGTAGGACCTCTTGTGAGTCGCGCGGGTAGGTATCACCGCCCTGCCTATTTCTGTTGTGAAGCAGTAATACAGAAGGGCGGGGCAGCCGTTGTACTGTAAGCCTGTGAGCGTGTCCACTCATCTAAGCTATAAAAAAAACTTTTTTTCTTGCTTAAATGGGTGGACAAGCTCACGGCCCATCTGGTGTTAAGTGGTTACGGGTGCCCGTAGACATCTACAACGTAAATGCCGCCACCCACCTTGAGACATAAGTTCTAAGGTCAAAGGTCAGTATAGGTCTCAGGTTTTCCTAATAAATACGTTTTCAACATATGTTCACGAATGACTACCATGATGAAGGTAATATTATTAATCTTGTGCAATAAATGTGTATGGTCCTCCCTTTGTGTCCTATTTAAAATGTGGGAATTGCTGTTGATCTATATACATTGAGAATGAGCCAGGCATCTTCAAATTACCATTTTATAAATAACTTCGACAGCAACCGAAGACCGGGTGTGGACCGTTAATAAATGTGATTTAAAGTGTAAAACACGCCACGATCAGAGTGGTCATAAAAGTCAAGAAATGTCGTTTTTATAAGGTAAGTGGGAAATGATTTGGTTTCCAGCGCGGTCTTGAGAGGCGAAGCAGTAACAACGCTGGTCCCTCGCCTCCCCTCAACGACCCGAGGCTGCACACCCCCGCCGCTTCTATGCCAAGTGAGTTCAGTTCTGTGGAGGGTGCAGGGGAGAGCGCTCTCTGAGTTTATAAGTGTCTATCGAAAAGCGACCGATCAGGGCGGCGTCTACGTAGCGACTGGTGTAATTTTAAAGATGGCGCCCAAATTAAATTAAATGGTTCAACTCTGAAGAACACTTTATTTGGTCACGACTGCTACGCTAGCGATGATCGGTTTCTGTGTGTGTAGTAGTAATTGGTTGCTAGTATAACTGGCCACTTCCAACTGGTTCCTCATATAAGACAGCTCTCTATGCTTCCCTCCGGTCTCTTTACTCACGCAGGCTTCGGAGTTAAGGATCGCATCGATCAGCCCCACCGATCGTGCTAGAAATTGTCCCAAATTTTTTTATTTCCTTTGTTGGCAATCTAGCATACAACCCACCTGATGGTGAGTGGTTACCATCGCTCATGAACGTTAGCAATGCCAGGGGCACAGCTATGTCACTGCCTACCATTGACACACAATAATAAGATATTCGACAGAAACAATCATCAATGCACATCGCTTGATACACGATCGACATAATCTTCTACTTCATAACATTCATTTTGTTTTAAGAAAAAAAAAATCAAACAGTAATCAAGATCAGTTCAAAAATTATGTTCGAACCCCCCCACATATCGTCTTCTCGCATTAAAATTGTACAATCTCAAAACTTACTAAATTTTACAGGAGAGTGTTTTAAAGGTTTAACATATGATATTTTTAATATCAATCATCTTTGCAACATTAATTTTTTAGTTTTTACCAGTTATACATTATCTGTCTTTTAAAGTAAGATAAAATTATGCATTAATTTTGTTAATAGTAGTCAAAACATAGGTAAACTAAAAAAAAATAAAAAAGAATAAACTACGCTCTTTTGACAGTATTTAGAGAGTAAAATACTAGTGATACCAAATGTTTACGCATATTAACTCAATTTCGAATATTTTTGGAAATTGTACACTTTTAATGCGAAAAGGCGATATGTGCCCCCCCTATATACGCCATGTTGTCTATGGGTGTGCCGTCGGCCCGGTCATAGACAGTGTACGTTACGGCGCCCAGATTCCCCTATCCACGCGGGCGCTCCGGCGCTGGACCTGAGCGCGCTCACGGCGGAGGCCAGCCGCGCCGCGGTGCGGGCCGTGCAGGCCGCCTGCCCCGACCACGTGCTGCACGAGCTGCACGCCACCATGCTGCTCACGCAGGTAGCCACCGACACCCCTCGACTTACTCGTCACCATAATAATACCTAGGAACACAAGCACGGTCATCCAACCCCAAATTAGGATCCCCTGTGTTATGGATACCAGACACTGACATATTTATATACATTCAAGTATATGCATATATAGATAATGTACATCCAGACGAAGAGCCTATCACAGAATTTTTTTATTTATTTTTTTATTGCCTTTGTAGGCAGACGGGCATACGGCCCACCTGATGGTGAGTGGTTACCGTCGCCCATGGACTTCAGCAATGCCAGGGGCAAAGCCAAGCCGCTGCCTACCGAAAAATGCTTGCCCTATGTGGATATTGAGCCTATGACCTTCGGCGTAACCATCGTCAGGTGTGCTAATATACTTAGTCTGGCCATAAATACTGTTACAATTAAAAATAAACAAAATATTACATTTGAATTTGGAATCTGTCATTTTTATATGATTGCTCATTGAGCTTTCTCATTTTGGCGCCAATACATTGTACGATATTTTGCGATATTAAAATGGAGTGGGGTGATAAAGAGAACCGAATCGCTGTGATTGCATTACACAAAGTAGGTATGGAGCCACATGCAATTTTTAAAACTCTCCATACGCCTGGTATTAGTAAAATGTTTGTGTACCGGGCTATTAATAGGTGCAATGAGACCTTCTCTGTTTGTGACAGAAAAAGAACTGGCCGTCCACGTAGTGTTCGTAAGAAAAATGTGGTAAAAGCAGTAAGGGAAAGAATTCGAAGAAATTCTGTCCGAAAGCAAAAGATTTTATCTCGGGAGATGAAGATAGCACCTAGAACCATATCGCGTATTTTAAAAGATGACTTAGGACTTGCAGCCTATTAGTGACGTACTGGTCATTTCTTAACTGATAATTTAAAAGAGAATAGGGTGGTAAAATCGAAAAAACTACTGAAGCGGTACGCCAAGGGAGGTCATAGAAAATTTTGTTTACGGATAAGAAATTTTTTACAATTGAGCAACATTTTAACAAACAAAATGACCGTATTTATGCTCAAAGCTCTAAAGAAGCTTCCCAATTAGTCTACAGAGTGCAACGTAAAAGTAATAAATGTTATTTGCCATAGATTTTTTTTTGTTTTCCTTTGTTACAGTATTTATGGCCAGACTAAGTATATATAGAAAATATTACAATCGCGATAAAGATCCGAGTTGAATTTTACATAAAAAGCTTAGTAAAATAATTCAACTCAACTCTTATTAAAATCGGCACAATAATATATAATCATAATACAAATAGATATAATAAATTGTGATGGCTAACAATGACTAAAGATTACTAACTCTAGCCTTTGTTTCCAGGACATGGCCCTAAAAATCGGCGTGAACCTGCACGCGTTGTCCCCACACATGAACACGTCCCAGGAACTACTCAAATGCATACACAATTACACGAACTACACATTACTGTCCGGTCATACGTCGCCGGCTAGTCCCGGATCGCCTCTGCACCAGATAACCGAAGGTCTCAGCTACCTCCACACCGGTTCCATAACGAGAGGAACCCCCCAGGCTTCGGCCACCCCCCTAGATCTACGAAGCAACGTCGATATGGACACGGGTCAATACCCTCAACTGCATCCCATGATCCACCCCCAGCTTCACATGGTGACGCACAGATCCTTAAACAATTCCCCCATATCAAACCCGGGGTCTCCGTTGGACATGATCCAGGAGGAAATAGGTAATGGAAGTGACAAAACCGAGAGAAACTTCCAGAGCTTCATATCGAATCATCCACAGATCAGTTTAACGGACTGCCTTGGCTCCGAAATCACATTAGTCGCATCCTCGTCGGAAGACAGCATGGACAGCTTGGAAAACACCAAGTACCCCCTACCGCAGTTCGTGATATCAGAGCCCACAGACCTGGACGACAGGCCGTCCATAACAAAAGGAATAGGCAGGAAGGTCAGCCAAGAGACCGAGGTCCACGATCAGGCGAAAGACGCAGAAATGCAGTCCCCGAAGGACGAGGAAGCGAAATTCCTGACCGAAGACCTGAACATTAGGAGGGGCAGTGATAAGTCGCTTGGCTTTAGTGACGACTCGTTAAGCAACGACTCCGCGAACGCGTCTCCCAACTGCGAGCAGACGATACAGTCGATTTATTCGAATATAGTCTCCATTAGCTCAGGGTTCAGCGAGAACAGGGGCTCCTTCTCAGAGCACCGCGAGTCGTTCTCGTTCTCGGACCGGGGCAGCTTCTCCGAGCGCGGGGACTTGGGCAGGTCCTCGTTCTCCGACCAGGGTCGAGGGAGCTTCTCAGAAAAAGGAGAAACGCCTAGATCGTCGTTCAGCGCTCAAGGCATACTCGGCGAGGTAAAGGAATACGCGGAGGACGTCTACATGTCCCGTGAAACCGAACTGGCGCCGATCAGAGACATCGACAGGCTTCAAAAGTCCACCATGGATCTGCGTTTGACTGACATTTGTAAGCCAGAAGAGAAGATGCCGATCCTGCTGAGTCCCCAGAAGGTGTCCTGCGTGCAGGAATACTACGAAGTTGCCCTGTCCACGTTCTGCTCCAAATTGGACTCGACCAGAATAGTGGAACTTCTGAAAGACGCCATCAACACCAAAGTCCCGCCTCAGAGTATCTTCGTGGAGAAGGTGGCCAAAGACGGAGACAACGGCTACATTAATCTAGAATATTCCGGTGGAATTCAAATCGAGCTGGTCGTGTGTGAGAACAAAGCCATGGAGAAGAAGGGCTTGAAGATGAGAAGGATCTCAGGAGATCAAAGGGAATACGGGAAGCTGTGTGAACAGCTCATCACCAGTTTGACTGTTTGAATCTTTGAGTCACCTCCCGTTCTCCCCTCCACTGATATTTGATTACCGAAATGTAAGGATTGATAATGACTTTACAATGACAATGTTATTGCAAGTTAAAGTTTTCGGAAGTCCTGCCTCGAATGACGGACACCCCAGCGCGTGTCCAGCGCCGCTAGTGTGCCCACACAAAGCGCGGAGACATTGTGGATTTTATTTCGTGATAAAAAAATCTGCTGGATTTTTCAAATTCCTTTCACTCGTGCATATCTTCGGTACCGACAGCAGAAAACGTTTTTTTTTTCGATAATGCAACATAATATTTAGTGCTGGCGTCATTCGCTTTAGTGTAAGCGAGAGAGAGAGAATCGTGGAAGATTCACTGCGCGATCACAACAAGACACGATGGGTCTTTAGATGGTAATGCTCACGGCCTATCTGATGTTAAATGGTTACTGCGGCTCATAGGTCAACATTGCATCAAAAGACGGTCTGGTACCGAAATTCGAGGATTTGTATTTCAGCTAAATGTCATCACTAATTCGTGCCTTGTTTTGGTCGCGCGGTATCGCCGTCTCGCTCGCTCCCCCCACCATCGAATAAAAGCGAGTGAGACGTCTATAGACTTCTGTCTTCATTTTAAAATCGCTGGTCGATTAATTTAAACGAATTTTAATAGCTGTCTGTTTGGTCGTGCATTCATAATGTGTAGTGCTGAACTACAATACTAGGGATGCGAAATAACTCGTCAATGTTATAAGTCAAAATTTTAAAAACTTTAATACGCTTAAAAAAGTTAAAAAAAAACACAACAAGAGTACAATGTAACAAAATCAGGAGAAAACAAAAAAATGTTTATATGGAAAAAAAACAATTTATTTTAAACAAAGAAAAAAAATACAATACCATCTCTATTCTGTCGACTTAAAGCTTTCAAATATTGCGACTGAGCTTTAAACAACAATCTTTTGTTTGACCCTACAGACATTTCGAAGCCCTTTACAATCACCGATACGACGACGACATATCGCCAAGACGGATACGATCTATCGTGTCTATCAATAAAATTATTTATAAAACGTAATTTAAATTATTAAATGTCATCGATTTTTTTCCACCACGATTTTTTTGTTGACGGAAATTAGAAACCGTCGCTCCAAGTTCTAAAGTGAACATAATCCAGTATGAGGGTTAGTGTCATAAAAACTGTTGATACCGTTAGAGCATAATGATGCGGTCGTCCAGTTCCATTAATAACGCCCAAGACTGAATAAGAGGGTAGGCCGATTTGTCTGCTCCAAACCGAAGGCGTCTCTAGCCAATGTAGCGCCCTCTAGTGACCAAGCGATCAAAATGAAATAGGTACGAATGTCTCATTGATTGTGCCCAGGCCGGCGCCCTCTGACACTCTAGTTAGAAGTCACCATAGGTAAAGCCAGCTCTGCTCCTAACATCCCGCAGTCCTCAGCCTACCTGTGGTCATGACCACATTTTGATGACCCGAACATTAGTAGTGTATATCCACCTCGTTGCATCGATAATCCTCAATGTTGAGGGTCGTTTCCTCTCTGAATAATGTATAAAGCATTCACATATTTAATTCATTTCACCCACCTTCGTAACAAATAGCACAAAACAACCTGCCGACCTTTTTATAAGGTAGTTTTTTCTGAGAAACCTTTAGAAACTTCTGCAAAATACGTAAAAATAAGCTAAGCTCTAATGAGTTTCAATATGAATACACAACTAAGCAATTAAACATTGAAATACTGACTGCTGAATCACACAGCTCACTGAAATTATTCGCGAAAACAATTCCAGTTGGCCAGTCATTCCTGATGCACGGTAACATTAAAAATACACCTTTTGAAAGATTTAGCTTGGAATCAAACGGCACGCAATGTAACAAAAAAGCCGAGACGCGGGTCAATGCTCTAATATACCGTAACATACCGTTGTTAAGTTTGGCAAACCATTCACTCGTGCTAATTGTCGCTAAATTAAGAAGATTACTTATTTGCGCGAATAGTACTCTCAATCCTAGCGTGTGTATCAATAAACACACTAACATCATCTCTATTTATTCCAAATGGGCGAGGATTCCACGAGGAGGCCACGTCCTTTAAGGTCGAGGCGTGACAGATCTCCGAGTCTAGCAACTAGACGCGTGGGTTCCGCCTACCCACGCCCGCAGTGTGTCAGGAAAACAATAAATGTAGAAGCCACTGTAACTAGAAATAAAATTAAGTTATTAGGTTATTGAGAACGACCTCGGGCCGGTCCTGGGCATTTCAAAGATTTAAGGATAAGAAGATTTACTACCGTCATACAGTGTTTATAAGTTGCTGCTGGCTTTAAAGACGCGTGGGCAAGACAGAATTGCGGTGGTTCGCTCATTTAATGTTTTGTCTGACTGGCCACACGATGGATATTGGAGGTCTTGTTAAGTTTCTTAAGCCTTTTATGAAAGGAAGCAATCTGACGGTACTCTGATATTGAATCGGCAATTTCAATGGTCAAAAGCCGACCAAAAGTGATTCCCTTGTGCGTTATGGTACGAATGTTTCGATATCAAAACAGTGATTAATAAAGTTTTAAATTTTATTTTTAAGTTAATAAAATTGTTGCTTGTTTGATTAAGAGCAATGTATAAACAAATTGAGAGAATGTGTATGTAAACGCCATCTATGATACGATCTATGAAACGGCGTGTCAATTAAAATTTGACACTTAGCTCGGCTTAATTAAATTATCAATGCTCCCCACGTGTTTACTCTGACGGTATTGGACGGATTGACGCGTGACGTATGTCATATCTGACAGCTGTCAAACGGCAAAGAACTTTATTGACGTGTCGGCTTGCTTATGATGGAAGTCGATGCCTATACCGGCACGTTTAAAAATGCATTTAAATAAACTTTTTCCTAAAAGTGCTTCTCATTCCTGGATATATATTTTTTCGTGAAGTTTCTTTTTTTTTTTGTTAGAGGAAGAGTGAAAAATTACGTGCATATCAGAATCCTGCATTGATCCTTGTGGAGGAATTCCGTTTAAAAATAGTGATAAATGAATGTGCAATATTAGATTTGTTTTTTTTTTAAATGCAAAAGAAACTTTTTCAAAAATATCTTTCGTTACTTTTTTTCTTTCAAAATCTCGCCATAGACATAATATTACGTTTATAATATAATTGTTTATTTATGAAAATCCATAATGTTAATGTAAATAATGAAATAGTAATAATTTTGATTATTATTATTTTTTTTAAGATGTAAGTACAATAAATAATGTTTATAAAAATTATAAACTTTGTTTTAATATACCGGATAGGTATACCAATATACTTTTTCGGTCTGAATGGCAGAAATGCCTGTGCGCATCTTTGTCTTCTGCATCCCATACCATTTTATCCATCCCACCACAAAGCCTATTTTTGCCGCAAAGTTACTATTACTACTGTACAGATAAAATGTTATTACAGTCATCATGCAGTCCACCTGATGGTGAGTGGTTACCGTCGACCATAGACGCCAGCAATGCCAGGGGCATAGCCAACCGTTAAGTAATCTCCACAAGCCTCGTTTGAAGAAGGACATGTCATAGCGCTCGGGTAACACCGTGGAGGGGAGCTCATTCTAAAGCCGGATGGTACGTGGCAAAAAAGATCTTTGGAAACGCACTGTGGAGTCTAAGTTGAAAAGTTTGTAGTTTAAACGACTAAAAACAACAACAAATTCTTTGGATAAACTGATTGTTTGGATCTGAAAACGAAACTGCCCCAGTGTGAAACTCGGATCCAGTGCAAGCTTCAGTTCATGCTGACCCGCATCCCGGTGAAAAGTAAACAGCTTCGCATAATCAAGGACTAGCCATTTGTTCCGACTGCAAAAAACCAGTCGAAGCTCAGTAATCTAAGGAAATAGCTCACAAAAATCAAACGGCATTAAAGTTCTGCTGCGTGTAGTCAGTACATAGAGTCCAGTGTGCTAAGTGCGAGTTTTTTTAACGTTCTCGATAGCGTAAAAGTTAGCTCATATTTGTATGGAATAGGATCGTTTGCGTACGTTTGCCGTTATGGGCGCTGTTCCAACTGCATACAAAATTGGCTTAACATTTACGCTGTCGAGAACGTTAAAAAACTCGCACTAAGCACACTGGTCTGAAGCCCCTGTCAGTAGACCCGGCATAGATTTAGCTCAAAATTCGAACAGAATGAATCTGGAAGGAAGGAATACGTAACAAATGCTCACGTATGACTTCCACGGAGAAGGAATAACATGGTGTAATAAAAATCAAAACCTGCAAAATTATAATTTGCGTAATTACTGGTGGCAGGATGTTTTGTGAGTCCGCACGGGTAGGTATCACCGCCCTGCCTATTTTTGTCGTAAAGCAGTAATGCGTTTCGATTTGAAGGGTGAGGCAGCCGTTGTACTGTAAAAACTGAGACCTTAGAACTAATATATCTAGGTAGGTGGTGGCATTTACGTTGTTAATGTCTATGGGCTCCAGTAACCATTTAACACCAGGTGTGCTTTGAGCTCGTCCACCCGTATAATCAATAAAAAAAATGCTGCGGGTGTTATTTATTGACAATAATTCGTAGTTTTATTAACCGTTTCAATGTCTTTTAAACACTTATTATATTTTAATACCACATAATTCGTAATTCTACAAATTTTAAATGTCATGGTCGCGAGGATTGAACCCGACTACGCGAAAACAGATTGTCGTACGACTAATGTTACTGGCCGAATGCAATTGTCTATTAAAGTTCTTACTAAACATACATTACCTATAGTAGGTAATTTCAGGAGATTATCACTGATTAAAATAAAACTCTTGACCAAGAAAACTGCTAATCCTATTTCCGTCTTAAATAAATTTAATCGCCCGCTTGAGTCGAAAACAAACAAAAAAAATATATCACATCCCTTTGTGTATCTTTTTTTTTGCGCGTCCGCTGGAACTTGTCAAATTTTGACAGCTACCTTAAACGGATGTGACTAATTTGGGTTTAGCCGCCAAAATAAGCTGTTTAACTTAAAATATACGTATTCAAGTTACAACCCGGAATCACGGTAGACTTACAGAAAGGCCCAAGACGAATGGTTCGAAAGAAATGCATTTTTTTTCGCGTGGTTTCCGTTTCCCGCCTTTTGTGAGATGTTTTTTTTTCTACTAGAAACGTGCCAGGCACGCGGCTTTGGTGCGACAGGATTTTTTGTTTGTGCAAATATTAGTTTCCTTAGACGGCCCGGAATTTGTTTTTTTTTTGAGATCGGGTTTTAACGATAATCGAGTAAGCATCGAGAAAACATTTTTAAATTTGATTAAATTGAATATTAATTTTCAGGTATTTTAATGAGCCTTGTATTGTGTTCCAGACAGCTAAATAGTTATATGGATAAGTGCTACTCTGGGTAGGTATCTCGGAGGACGTATCTTCTTCTTTCTTCTTCTTGCAGTGCCTCTTCAATCCTGAAGGTTGGACGTTAGCTTCCTGTATTCATCTCTATCAGCAGCCAGCCGGAACAGCTGTTCGACGGAGGCAATACCGGTCCACTCCCGGATGTATCACTGCTGTCTATCCCTTCTTGTATGGTCATGTCCGATTCCTCAATATATCTATCTCTCTCTAACTTTAACCAACCCTCTCTTCCAATGAAAAGAATTAATGAACAGCCAATATCAGTATCTCAACGGGTCTAACCATTGATTTAAATATATTAGTTATATTTCAACTGTCTGGGTCTAACACAAAAAGGTATGCACATAGATATTTATGTTGTTTCTGCCCTTATTCTAAGGAGATATTTTATTCTGGCCGAACTAATCGTTCAAGCCATTAAAGAAACTAGCCCAAGCACACAAACATACAGTCCTTCATATCACATCATTCACTTCATTTAAGAAGGCTGATTAAACCAATACGTGATACACAAATATGAACTCTTATGTGTAATTATTCTAAGTATGAACTATAGAAAATGGCGACTTTGATATGTGTAATCCAATTGAAATAATAAAATTTTTTTTTTTTTTTTGTTATTATACGGCACCCCCTCGTACAGCCTTGAATACAAAAAAAAAAACATTATATAACACGTACAAGGTAACGGAAGCGTCGTGTTCTAAAACGGTTTTACACACATCCGGTCGTATTGTTCGTACTTCCGCTCGTTCGGACAAAAGGGATGGATGTGGTTATTGTACTATTGACCATTCAATTTTATGACATATTTTCGTTTTTTTTTTGCGTCGAAAGATGCTTAGATGTAAATAGTAAGTTGTTAATACATTAAATACGAACTTAAATAACTTGTCACTCACTAATGGCTTAGTGACTGGTGGTAGGACCTCTTGTGAGTCCGCACGGGTAGGTACTACCACCCTGCCTATTTCTGCCGTGAAGCAGTAATGCCTTTCGGTTTGAAGGGTGGGGCAGCCGCTGTAACTATACCTTACCTTAGAGACCTTAGAACTTATACCTCAAGGCAGTTTGCGCATTTACGTTATAAATGTCTATAGGCTCCAGTAACCGCTTAACACCAGATGGGCTGGGAGCTCGTAAAAAAAAGAAGATAAGTGTGTATTTCAGTCTCCTGTACCTATAACACTGGGAATTCTAATTTGAGATCGGAAGACCGCGCGTGATTTGTTCCCAGTTATTTATTTAAAAAATTTATACACTTTTCACGTGTCACGAAGCGATGCACTTGAAATTTATTGGATGTTTTATTTATTTATTCCTTAGATGTGTAGTTGAGCTCACAGCCCACCTGGTGTTAAGTGGTTACTGGAGCCCATAGACATCCACAACGTAAATGCTCCACCCACCTTGAGATATAAGCTCTAAGGTCTCAAGTATAGTTACAACGGCTGCCCCACCCTACAAACCGAAACGCATTACTGCTTCACGGCAGAAATAGGCAGGGTGGTGGTACCTACACGCGCGGACTCACAAGAGGTCCTACCACCATTAAATTGGGATGGAACTGCTGTGGAAAGAAAGAAGAAGAAAGAAAGAAAGAAATCATTTATTTGCTAAGCATAGGGAAAAATAGTTATGACTAATAACAGAAGTTAAAAGCAACGTGTATGCTTTGTCATTATTTGAAATGCGAATTTTAGTGCAGTGCAAGGTATTACGTACGTATAACTATTACGGACTATTACACTATTTACTATACAAATACTAGCCGTACTCGCCCGCTTCGCTTGGCATTTAAAATTAACATTATTATTTATTGTCATTATTATTAGAGAGTCCAACACTCATATAAATATTAGCCTATCCATTAATTACATATATTTTCTACATGGATACCACAAGTTTCAAGTCAATCGGATGCATGGTTCTGTAGTTATAACGGCTCTTATGCAGCATGATGAGAGGAGATGCTGCGCTAAAAATGACAGATTCCAAATTCAAATGTAATATTTTGTTTATTTTCAATTGTATTGTATGTATATTGTACATTGTATACTGTATTGTATATTGTAACAGTATTTATGGCCAGACTAAGTATATAAAAATGAATTGCTGTTCGTTAGTCTCGCTAAAACTCGAGAACGGCTTTATCGATTTGGCTAATTTTGGTCTTGAATTATTTGTGGAAGTCCAGAGAAGGTTTAAAAAGTAGAAAATATGAAAATGCTCGGAATTAAATAAAAATAACAATTTTGTTTTTCCTTTGATGTGTTTCCCGTCGGACGGATTCCTTTTATTTGTTTTAAGTTTATTTTATACAAAAGTTTAGGTCTTTTATTTATCGATTGAGGCACTACGAAGTCTGCCGGGTCAGCTAGCCTGTCATAAAAGTCTGTGACTCTCTCTGTGAAACTCTTCGTGGCCAACTTCATAACGTTGTATAATTAAGTCCAAACTAACAATAAAGAAAAGAAGGTACTGTTTTTTTTTTAATTTAACACAATTATCTATCATAAAAGTGACAGTCAACGACATCCTCGCAGCCGACTTCCGGCGCAACGATTTCCGGTCCCGACGCATCTTATTGTCTATTACATCACAGACGCCTGGCCGTCTGTCATTGGCACGAGAAGTTAGAAACTTAACGTAGTTTTAGTAACCAGCTGACATGTTTTTTTGTCTTCATTTTATCACCGCAGGAAATTGGCGTTATTAAAACAAATTGATATATGACTGATATTAATATAGCTGTGAGTGGGACAGTTTTTAATTTTAAAAAATAATGTTTTAATTTTTTTAATTTATTTATTGCATATATGGGTGGACGAGCTTTAATTGGTTCGCGAAGCCCGTAGACATGTATAACGTAAATGCCCCCACCCACCTTGAGATATAAGTTTTAAGGTCTCAGCATAGTTACAACGGCTGCCCCACCCTTCCGAAACGCATTACTGCTTCACGACTGAAATAGGCACGGTGGTGGTACATATCCGTGCGGACTCACAAGAGGTCCTACCACCAGAATGTACAAAGACGTTCGTTTTTTTTATGANCGAAGCCCGTAGACATGTATAACGTAAATGCCCCCACCCACCTTGAGATATAAGTTTTAAGGTCTCAGCATAGTTACAACGGCTGCCCCACCCTTCCGAAACGCATTACTGCTTCACGACTGAAATAGGCACGGTGGTGGTACATATCCGTGCGGACTCACAAGAGGTCCTACCACCAGAATGTACAAAGACGTTCGTTTTTTTTATGAAGGAAGGATTACTGATGGTCCGGTGATTCGGTTTGATCACGACAAATGGGCGAGCAAAGGCTCAGCCAGGAGGGGTGGGATTTACTAACAACTGCCCGAGCGCCTCCGAAGGAGACCTAACAACTCAAGAGCACTTGGTTCGCGAATCAATCGCCGAGTCTTCTCAGTGGGTCGCGTTTCCGATCCGGTGGTAGATTCTGCAAAGCACTGCTCTCGCTCCGGTTTGAGCTCACTCGGGAGCTCACCTACACATACTACAGGATATCGCTAATATAGCTTCTCAATGCTATCAGCATAGGTAGGGAAAAAAGCTATAAGAGCTTTTTTTCAAGCATAAGAGAAAAAAAACAAAAATTAACCTTGATCTAGTGTACAACTCAAAACAATGAAAGGTAATCTGAATTACAAGATAAAACTCATAAAAAAAAACGTTTCCCTACTATTATAACTATACACCACTAAAAGGCCATTATGGCTATAAACGAACAGCTTTCCAGAAAAAGATGTTTCTAAAAACGAATCCGCCATTACTCGAATAAATTTGCGCGGGAAACGAAAATAGCTCCGGAAACGTTCGTCCCTAATTATTTATTTTGTGCATCAATGCAACGTAAACAACAGGTATGTCATACAATTAAAATAAACCTTATTTCACAGAGACTAAGACTATTTTCATGCAAACATTGAAAATCTTAGTTCGTTTCAAAACATTCAATTTACGCGGAAACTATTAGTTTCTGAGGCACATGCTGACAGGCAGGATGCGAGAAACTCATTATCGATTTGAAAAAAATAATCTTTGCATTTCTTTCACGCTTATGGAAAGCTGTTGTAGAAAGAGTGAGACGCATTATTGAATATCCGGGCACTTGGCGCATGGCTCCAAATCAAACTCAAAGTGAAGCGGTATTATATAAATTTTCGAGATATTGAAAATTAAGTGTTAAATTGTAAACATTAAGGTCTGTTTTAATAGAGTAGAGCCGATAGATTGTTATCTTTTCTGTCTGTTAAAACGTTCGAGACATCTGCATTCATTCATGGATTCAAATTTCGTTGGTTCATTCGTCCATTCATAATATTTCAAGTCAGTTGCAAAATAACACTGAAGAAGAGTGGACGTTCGTGTGGACAAATATTGAAATTGTGATTTGAAATTTAGTGGATTTTCGTTTAAGGAAAGTGAAAACTGGAAGTGGAAGGAAACAGCAATTTGTAGTACGAGATTTTATATATTTTAATGGTAAGTCGAAATTAAAACATTGTAATTTAACTCATTTAGAACTTTACTTTGCATTACACACATGCGCGATATTATCGTAAACTTTAAATAAGTTTTTAACATAAATGTGCAAATGGCAGAATACAATAAGTAGTTTTTATTGTTCGATAAATCATAGATAGTGTTTGACATTAAATATTTACGAAAAAAAATAAAAATTAATATAGGTACAAAAGCGTGTAACACATTGACTAATAAACGATACGATAATTTCTTTTGTATTAGTAAGTGTTATCATTGATTACTGTTTTTTTGGAAAATCTTAATTAAAGCAGATTACTAAAGTAAAGTTGTAAAATTATTGTATCGGTCCTTGATGCGATGCTTAAAATGTTCAAGTTAATCCGACATCTTGAAGTCGATGTTATCCACAGACACAGCCCACTGAGTTTCCTGTCGGATCTTCTCAGTGGGTCGCGCTTCCGATCCGGTGATAGATTCTGCGAAGCAATGCTCTTGCTAGGGCCTGTGTTAGCAACACACTCGGTTTGAGCCCCGTGAGCTCGCCTACACATCAAGAAACTGATATAGCCTCTCAAGGCTATCAGCATAGGTAGGAAAAATAAAAATTGACCAATAAAGACACCCTCGCTGTTCCGATAGTCGTGTGACAGCGAAAAGCTTCGACTAACACCGGAGCTTCTAGGCAACTGGATTAAGCTCGTGATGTTCCTCGTAGCCAGCAGAAGCACGAGAGGCAGTCGACAATATAATGATAGTGTGCTGTTTTAATATTTCAAGATATTTTTGATCAATTTAAAAAATATATTTTATGTAGAATTAGGATTGCGGCACATAAAATAAAATGATTCCACTGTTCTAAAATCTTTTGTTGTTATAATTAAAAATTATCTGACACCTTTTTCTGACACCTTTATCTTGCTTTTCTTTTGTCTGTCATTCTGTTTGTCATTCTTTTTTCCTTTTCTTACAGTTTTCTCTAACACATCTTAACGCTCCGTTCTACAATTCTTTTGATACGTTCCATTCTTACCAATCTTACATATCGTCGTTGCCAAACCAAAATCTGCTATGTGCACTTTATGAGATTTTTATAATACTTTTTGACCTTTTCGTATAGTTCACAGCCCTACCTACCGTATAAAAAAAACTGTTGTGTCTATAGCTTTAATTATCTATAGCTTTCATTTGATATACAGTCAAACCTGGATAAGTGAGAACTGGATAAGTGAGAAAACTCTATAAGTGAGAGTAATTGCCAGGACCCGTCATTTTTAACTCCTAAAACCTCTATTAGCGAGAAACAGAAACCTCTGTAAGAGAGAGTCGTTTTTGCCTCATGGACCTCCGTGAGTGAGACTGCTACTTATCTATACCTCTATAAGCGACAGTCGAGCTTTATTTATTTATATTATTTAGGAGGAACAAATGACAAAACAAATTACAAATTTAACATCTGCTATTTTATGACCCATTCTTAACTTTNCCTCCGTGAGTGAGACTGCTACTTATCTATACCTCTATAAGCGACAGTCGAGCTTTATTTATTTATATTATTTAGGAGGAACAAATGACAAAACAAATTACAAATTTAACATCTGCTATTTTATGACCCATTCTTAACTTTCGTGGAACTTCTTAACATTGTTTTTGTATTGTTTTCTCGTCAATATTGAACCTATTCTATTTCGTGGAACTAAATAACGTTGTTATTCATTCGATTTCTTTTCGAATGGACACGTGTCCCTGTGTACCGTCCTCTTTGTCGGACTTACTCAGTTTATTGTTAATCAATTGCGAAGGAAAGTTCTGTTCTGCATCATGCTAAAACGGAAAATCAAAGTACTGCCATTAAGTGATAAACTTAAAATAGTGAATGCGTTTGAATCCGGGAAATCGCGAAATTAAATTCAGAGGGTGCATTAGCGAGAAACTCGGGTTAGTGAGAAACCTCTATAAGCGAGAATGAGATTGTGCTCCCTTGAACTCTCGCTTCTCCAGGTTTGACTGTAGTTCTTAAAAACTCACTTTCATATAAAATTTTATACGAAAATGTTTTTACTCGTTAATTCAAAATAGAGTTTTTGCACATAGCAGATTTTGGTTTGACAGCGACGATATATTATATTTTTGAAATGGCTTGAATTTGAATGAATTTGAATGGCTTGAATTGTAATGGCAAACTTTCCAAACCTTTGAAGTCGTCGTGGCTTACGGGATAAGACGTCCGGTGCATTCGTGTTGAGCGATGCACCGGTGTTCGAATCCCAGGCGGGTACCGATTTTTGTAATAAAATAAGTACTCAACAAATGTTCACGATTGATTTCCACGGTGAAGGAATAACATCGTGTAATAAAAATCTAACCTGCAAATTAAAATTTGCGTAATTACTGGTGGTAGGACCTCGTGTGAATCCGCGCGGGTAGGTACCACCGCCCTGCCTATTTCTACCGTCAATGCGTTTCGGTTTGAAGGGCGGGGCACCCCTTGTAACTATACTTGAGACCTTAGAACTTATATCTCAAGGTGGGTGGCGCATTTACGTCGTAGATGTCTATGGGATCCAGTAACCACTTAACACCAGGTGGGCTGTGAGCTCGTCCAACCCATCTAAGCAATAAATAAATAAACCTATTGATTTTTACTTCGCCGTTCCATTTCGCATAGCATCAGATGGGCTGTGAACTCGTTCGTGTCTCTATAGTCTGTCAGTCTGTGCCGACTTCGCCGACAACAAAATTTCTCACGACCAACAAACGTCGTTCATCTTAATTGTCTATTGTAATTCGAAAGCTATGCCTAGTTCCCGCCATTGTTGCGTTTTCCCGCGCTTTCTATAGCTTCCGGTTGCGGAACGACGGAAGCTTAAATTGCAGTTAATTTAAGTTAGATTGGAACCCGAGTGAGAGATGTGAATACATTTTGCCAAACATTAAATGCGGGTGGCCATGCCAGAAATGGTAAACTTATTAATGTATGTAGGTACTCTTGACGCGTGGATAATATTGCTATAGATTTTTTGAAGTTATACTTCTTTAGGCGCGTTATGAAAAATTGATGAGAGTGAAATTTTACGTTGCGCGTGCACCGTGACACAAAATTAATAGAAATGAAGTTGCCCACTAAATCGCTCATATTACAATACGACCGACGTAACTTGGCGAGTCTGAATATAGCCGCAGGTGAACTTTCGCACATGTAACTCGTAAAAAAAGTGTTATTAGCATTCATTTTTTAACGTTAAATATTTATTATTAATTATTTAATATAAAAAAAAAGAAATAGATTTAATAAAAATAAAGTATAACTTCTTACGCGCGTTTTTTTATTGGATTTTATGACCTGGTTGTGGCGGGTAGCCATCATACTACGTAATATATTTGACAGATGCCTGAATCTCGCTTACGACATTATCAAGATAAGCTCGCATATATACAAGTTCCGAACAACATTCGGACCGTCGGTCTACCGAGCAATATCACCCGCTCGGTGGAAGACTTTTCCTCCGTTGTTATATCTTCCCACACTGGTAACTATAATAAGAACTAGTAAAATGGTGGTCATTTACTGAGATTTTTTCAGTGGACTTTTTGGAGGATCCCGAGAAGTTACGTCCAGCGGCTTGGTTTCATTTTCCCACATCTGTGCACTTACACAGCTATTAAACCACCGTTATTACACATTTAAACCGGAAGAAACACTAAATAGGCAAAATAAAACAAATCACTGGACTTTTTGGAAGATCCCGAGAAGTTACGTCCAGCGGCTTGGTTTCATTTTCCCACATTTGTGCACTTTCACAGATATTAAACCACCGTTATTACTCATTTAAACCGGAAGAAACACTAAATAGGCAAAATAAAACAAATCACACAACTTCACTACTCGCGTTCCCGCCGAAAAGTCCTGTTATAGATTTAAAGGTGATAGTTATATAAATTAACTCTTAACGCGTCGCTTGATAAATATTAAAAAAACAAAATCTCAACTAGTTCATTCATGGGAAATGTGCTAATCTATTTAAGTGTGACAAAAAAAAAAAATAAGTCACTCGATTTACCGGAAGCGCGCTCGCCGTCTTCCCGCCAAACGGACGGACGCGCCATAATCGAAATCGACGCTTCCGCCCGTTTCGAAAAAGGAACGTAAAGTCGGCATTATAGTTAGTTTTTTTTTATTACGCCCCTAAAACAAGACGTGTGCTTTGAACGGCCTAAATACATTTAATTGGCCGAATGTTTGTGTTACCGTTTGATTTTGAACANTTTACCGGAAGCGCGCTCGCCGTCTTCCCGCCAAACGGACGGACGCGCCATAATCGAAATCGACGCTTCCGCCCGTTTCGAAAAAGGAACGTAAAGTCGGCATTATAGTTAGTTTTTTTTTATTACGCCCCTAAAACAAGACGTGTGCTTTGAACGGCCTAAATACATTTAATTGGCCGAATGTTTGTGTTACCGTTTGCTTTTGAACACTGAAGGTGCCTTTGATGGTTTTGAAGGCAAGCTTGGTAATTGTATTTTTTTATTGCTTAATGGTTGGATGAGCTCACAGCCCACCTGGTGTTAACTGAAGCCCATAGACATCTACTACGTAAATGCGCCGCCCACCTTGAGACATGAGTTCTAAGGTCTCAGTATAGTTGCAACGGCTGCCCCGCCCTTCAAAGTGAAACGCATTACTGCTTCACGGCAGAAATAGACAGAAAAAGGCAGGGTGGTGGTACCTACCCGTGCGGACTCGCAAGAGGTCCTACCACCAGTAATTACGCAAATTATATTTTTGAGGGTTTGATTTTGGTCTGTGCGAGCCAAATAAAACTATATTATGGATATGTCGAGCCAGCCGTAACCCTAACAAGAAACAACACGAATTGAGCACTGACGACCATAACGAAGGAAGTAGCGACGAGGATCCGTCCAATACCATTATTGAAAACCGGAAATTATACATAAAAATCGGGAAACGCTCGACAATAACACAAAGAAACGCGCGGATAACGTTCATTTGTACGAAATCCGGCGCCATGATAGACGGAAACCGGATGTGGGCAAAGCGTCCGTACTAATGACCGGATTATTTATTATGTTGGCCATTATGCGTTCGCGTTGTTGACAACGGATTTAGTTTGCGATAAGGTTACCGAAGTTTTCGGAAGCGCCTTCGAATATCTATAGTTAAGTCTACTATAAAACATAAGGCATATCCTCTCAAGGCTACCAGCTTAGGTAGGGAATAAATAAATAAAAATTAATGCAATTATTTTCGATTCCAGACTTACACACTCTCCGTCTTCACGATGCCGACCCAGGTCCGATGCGACAGAGTGCCGCCAGCACACGAGAGCCAGTGGGGGGCTCTCGACTTGAGGGTGTTGCAGGAAGACGATCTCCCATTAGGTAAGGAATTAAGTGAAGCGCCTGTCTAAGGCTTTAGTGTCGCCCGTGAACCAAGATGTTAGTTTGCGTGGTATGCTGACACACAGCCCACTTGGTGTTGAGTGGTTACTGGAGCCCATAGACATCTACAACGTAAATGTCACCCACCCACCTTGAGATTGAGTTCTAAGGTCTCAATATAGTAACAACGGCTGCCGCACCCTTCAAACCGAAAAACATTACTGCTTCACGACAGAAATAGGCACGGTGGTGGTGCCTATCTGCGCGGACTCACAAGAGGTCCTACCACCAGTAATTACGCAAATTATAATTTTGCGGGTTTGATTTTTATTACACGACGCTATTCCCTCACCGTGGAAGTCAATCGTGAACATGTGTTAAGTTCGTATTTCATTAGAAAAATTGGTACCCGCCTGCGGGATTCGAACACCGGTGCATCGCTACATACAAATGCACCAGAGGTCTTATCCTTTAGGCCACGACCACTTAAACTAGACAACGATTCAGATATCCATCAGCTTACAAGATCTTAACCCACACAAACATTATACGCTAAATAGAGGACATATCGTCTTCTCGCATTAAAACTGTATAATCTCAAAACTTACTAACTTTACAGTCTTAAAGATATATTTAGGTTTAACATATGATATTTTTAACATCTTGGCAACATTTTATTTTTAATTTTTACCAGTTACATTATCTGTCTTTTAAAGTAAGATATAATAATGTATTAATTTTGTTAATAGTAGTCAAAACATAGGTAAACTAAAAAAAATAATCTAAAACTAAACTACGCTCTTTTGACAGTATTTATGAGAAAAATACTGGTGATACCAAATTTTTACGAATATTAACTCAATTTCGAATCTTTTTGGAAATTGTACACTTTTAATGCGAAAATGCGATATATACTCATATTATATTATATATTATGTAAACGGTATATATTTGTTTATTGTATGTATAGGTATATATTTTCTATAATAATGTATTATCTATAGTGCACCGCAACATACCTGCTATGTTTTTATATTTTCCAGAATTTCTGTAAATTTAACTGTGGTCTGAAAGAGATCGCTTTTAGCGATAAGACCGCCTATTGTACAAAAATATCTGCTATTATGATTGTTTTTTGAATGTAAATTGTGTTTTGGTGTGCAATAAAGTGTATTCTCTCTCTCTCTCTCTCTCTCTCTCTATACGGCTATTAGCAGCTTGGTAGGTTCTATAGAATCTGGTTTTAAATGGCTTCCATCCCACCAGACCCTCGGTCCTGGTGTCGCGCTGACGTCGGCGCGTGGGTGTCGCGGCGCGGTGGCCTCCCGGAGCGTTTCCCGATGAACGGGAAGGCCCTGTGTCTGATGTCCAGGGACATGTTCGCTTCGAGGGTTCCAAACAAAGGATTTGAACTGCATCAGGTAATTTTTTGGGCCGCTTTTTATCAGCTCGTTCCGTATCTATGTGTAGGAATCTGTCAACATAATCCTGATCGACTCCAAGACTTGACCACGATATATTTTATTACTGCGACCTGATATCCTAAATAGGAACAAAAATTAAAGAAGATTTTGACTTTGGCTAGCTCTGTGGAATGGGTTTCTTTGTTTGATTTTTCTTGTATTTACCGCATAGATCTGTGAGCGTACCTATGACCGTTCTGTGTGAGCGCATGGATATCTCAACGTGAACGCTACCACCCACCTCAAGACATGAGGTCGCAGTCTTGATTATACGAGTACAATAGTCACGCGTTATCAAAAACCTCATCAACCATTATACCATAGACGACAAAAATAAACAGTCTTACCTATAAACATCCATTTTGCTGAGGCATTGATTGACCACACCCCAAAAGACGGACCACGCCCATCCACTAAGGCATCAACAAAGGACCAAACAACTGGTAGTAGGACCTCTTGTGAGTCCGAACGGGTAGACACCACCACCGTGCCTATTTCTGCCGTGAAGCAGTAATGCGTTTCGGTTTGAAGAGTAGGGCAGCCGTTGTAACTATACTGAGACCTTAAAACTTATATCTCAAGGTGGGTGGCGCATTTACGTTGTAAAGGTCTATTGACTTGTGTAACCACTTTACCTGGTGGGCTATAAGCTTGTCCACCCATCTATCTAACCAATAAAAAAAACGGACCGTTATAACTCCTTAACCATTGCTCACGTGGGGTTATCATAAATTCTAGGACTTCCGAAGGAGACTGGCCAAAGCTCTGGCGCTACAGGACTTCATCGAGAAGATGTCCAAAAACTAACATCCACCAGAATGTGTTCCCGCGGTATCATCTTAATGTCGACGGAAGCGAATGTGGATACTAGCTTATACTGAATTAATCTTAGAGGCTTTTATACATAATTTTCGATATAGTACGATATTATTTTTTTCCTACCTAAGCTGATAGCCTGGAGAGGCTATTTCAGCGTAACCTTAACTAGTAGGTGAGCTCACGGGGCTCAAACCGGAGTGATGCTAACACTGACCCTACCAAGAGCAGTGCTCCGCAGAATCTACCGACGGATCGGAAACGCGACCCACTGAGAAGATTCGGCGAAAAACTCAGTGGGCTGTGTCTGTGGGTTAATTCGCTCGTCGAACCCGTTGCTTGCGACGAAGGGCTCGACGAGCGAAAACGGTGACCGGTGCTTATGGTACCTAAAAGCACCGTTAATGGATCGGGAGGTACTATAGAAACATTACTTATAACATTGTAATTCAGTAATGCCCCAATAACGCGGTACTCTTATAACGCATTTTTATATTACGCGATTTCAGTCCCTCGTATAACACAGGTAAAATAACCCCATATAACCGGGGATTACACGCGTTATATTTGAGGCCCTTAGCGCAAAAGTGGCCTAAGCTTACCATAGTTATTATGGAGCAATGAGGTTTAAGTTTTCAAGAATTTTAATTTAATAAAACAATACGCGCAAAATTAATTTTTACAAAGTCTATGGGTGAAACTATGGCATTATGGATAGGCCGGTTTTGCATCAAAATTGATTATATTTTAAATAAATGGAAATATACGTATAAGCATGATTATGAAAAATTGTGGGTTAGGCCACTTTTGCGCTGACGGCCTTATTTCTGTTCTCTGAAATTTATAATGATTTGCACGGTTCATAATTAATTTACGCATACCTTTGCACATTGCTTCAATTGTGTTATTATACAACAAAATAAATTTATTAAATTTGTGTTCCTAGTTTTTGAATTATAAATACATTGGTTATATTGTATTATACCTAGTCAGGTCATAAATTCTGTCACATGTTTAATGTAAAATAGTTGAAACAAGTTTATTCATTATGTAACCATTCATATACCAAAATGAACTTAACAAAACATAGATTCTTATGACACTAAAGTTTATTCAAAATGACCTCCGTGATTTTGAATACAGGCCTTCAATCTGCGCGGCCAGTCGTCTATCGCAGCACGAACGAGGTCCATGTCAATATCGGCGGCTGCCTTAATCAAGGATGTCTTGAGTGACTCCAAATTGGGATGAGGCTTTGAGCACGCCTTTTCCTCCAAGTGTTGCCATATCTTGTAATCTAACGGATTCAAATCTGGACTGGAGGAGGGCCAGTCTTCGTGCCGGATGAAGTCGATTTCACGCGCCGCCAGCCAGTCTTGTGTGCTCTTCGCTCTATGAGCTGGCGCCGAATCTTGTTGGAATACCCAGTGCCTGTTATTGAACATGGTATGAGAAACAGGTTCCACAAGGTTCGTCAGGACTGTATTTTGATACACAACTGCATTCGTTTTTACACCTTTCTCACAAAAATGTACCTCTGTTAAGCCCCAATAAGAAACTCCCAACCATACCATGAGCGAGGATGGAAAATGACCTCGTTGGACACGCGGAATACGGTTGCTCGCTTCTTCACTACTGTGTGCGTACACCTTATCATTTTGTTTGTTGTAGCTCTCTTCTACGGTAAAAAATTTTTCATCCGAAAAAGGAATTTCCCGATATTTTTTTCCCGCGTACCGCTTCAACAAAGCGCGGCATCTCTTCAGTCTCAGGTCCATTAGATGAGCATTCAAACGATGTCCTGTTTTTCTTCGATATACCCGAAGCCCTAAGTCTTCATTTAACACCCTTTTCACCGTGGTTCTGCTTAACCCCATCTGAAGAGCCAACAGTTTCTGCTTACGTTTGGGATTTCTTTGAATTCGCGCCTTCATAGTTTTTATCACTGCTGGAGTCCTAACAGACCGAGGGCGACCACTTCTTGACCTGTCATCTACACTAGAGTCTTCATTGTATCGTTTGATGGTACGATAAACGAATCTTTTGGTTATATTTAAATTTTTCAGTATGTTAAAAATTTTAATTGGCGCGTAACCGCAACGATGCAACGCAATAACTGCAACACGGTCTTCTTTAAGCGTCCCCTCCATATTTAAAAATGAGTAAAATTCTAAAAGTATACATTTTTATTTTCATGAACAATTCGAAATTCGAATTCAATAAACTTTTTTGTGGCCAGCATTCTAAAAGAAAAGTTTTTACTGTGTGACAATACTTATGACCTGACTAGTTATTTGTACAAAACGCGTTATAGGGCGTCATACGTTCGCGTTATGCTCTATGTCTATACCCTCTATAACACGGTAGATTGTAACCGTGTTATAAAGGGATTACTGTACTATGGAAATTAAAGACCGGACGCACATAGACCCGAAACTTCCGAAAATATGCAGCGACCAACAATGCGACTCGCACATTTTCCATTCGAACCCGGCGAACCTCACAAACGCGGGTACTTGCAAAAATATTGTAATCGGTATCTATGTATAAATAAATAAAAAATGTGTATCCTTTAAAAGTTCCTAAACTGTTAGTCCGATTGTGATGGTAATTAGTGCAGTTGTGGTCACTCCGCGGGGAAGTCCCGATACATTACTATCTTCTTACGAGTGGGACGCGCGGGTAGTTAAAAAAAAGTTTAAAAAAAGGGTATCTTTCATACAATTAGCGGAAGAAGCAGTGAAAAGTGATCACATTTCACTACTTGATAGTTTCTTAACATGATTGTGTCAGAAGAGATCAATGTAACAACGTCTTCGTCATTAATTCGCATATATTAAATATCGCGCAATGTATTGCAAAATACAAAATAATAACGTTGCCCTCAAATCGGAAACATCAGCTAATAATGTTTATTAATCTCACTATTAATATTGTAGTTCGTAATTCATAATAAATATAGTATTAAATATATCTAGTCAAGGCTCTTTTAGTAATAAATAATATGTTACAAGCGAATCTGTTGTTTTATTTTTCAATTGGCGGCCATTTTGTGACGATAATTCATAATATACACTTACTGGTGGTAAGACCTCTTGTGAGTCCACACGGGTAGGTACCACCATCCTGCCTATTTCTGCCGTAAAGCAGTAATGCGTTTCGGTTTGAAGGGCGGGGCAGCCGTTGTAACTGTACTGAGATGTAGATGTCTATGGGCTCCAGTAACCACTAAACACCAGGTGGGCCGTGAGCTCGTCCACCCATGTAAGCAACAAATAAATAATATGATAAATTTAAAAAAAATTGCGAGTTTAATTTATAATATACCATTTAATTTTCTTTGAATGCTTATGTTAAATTTATTGGTGGCTGACGATGAAAATTAGGTCTTGACGTGGTGTTGATAAAGCTATTTNAGCAACAAATAAATAATATGATAAATTTAAAAAAAATTGCGAGTTTAATTTATAATATACCATTTAATTTTCTTTGAATGCTTATGTTAAATTTATTGGTGGCTGACGATGAAAATTAGGTCTTGACGTGGTGTTGATAAAGCTATTTTTTCTCTAAAGCTGCCTTAAAAGCACTAGCTCCGGCCTGCAGTGCGTCCAAAACCTTAGGCGGCTGCTTCTCGAGCATGGTGGTCAACTCTTCAACGTTTTTCTTCTGTTCGGCGGCCATTTTGTTGATAACCTCTTTCAATTTATTTATGTCTATATTGTTGATATCCGGAACGCCTTCGAACAGCTTTCGCGCTTTCTCCTCGGAAGCTTTCACTTCATCTATTATTTTAGCTGAAAACGTATGGATATGAAAACAAAATTTCAGTCCATTTAATAGTAATTCTTGCAATTAACACACACAAACAGCGTGCTTAGTGAGAGTTTTTTAACGTTCTCGATAGCGTTTTTTACTGGTGGTAGGACTCACCTTTCGTGAGTCCACACGAGGAGGCACCACCACCCGCCTATTTCTGTCATGAAGCAGTAATGCGTTTCGCTTTGAAGGGTGGGGCAGCCGTTGTAACTATACTGATACCTTAGAACTGACATCTCAAGGTGGGTGGCACTTACGTTGTTGATGTCTATGTGCTCCGGTAACCACTTATTACCACCACCACCCGTCTACGCAATAAAAATAAAAAGCATAAAAGTTAACATAGTTTTTTATGCAGTTGGAACAGCGCCCCTAACGGCAAACTTAAGCAAACATTCCAACTCCATACAAATTTGAGTTAACTTTTACGCTATCGAGAACGTTAAAAAACTCGCACTAAGCACACAGAAGCCGGTTCTTCAACTGAGACCAACCGGCTTCGACGGTGGCAGCGTTTTAGGTTGTAGCTAATAACAAATCCACTCACAATCTTTCATCCATTTGATAATGTTGTCGACGCTATTCTTGCCGTCTTTCTGTAGTTTTTCGAAAAACTGGTCCATTGTTTCTTTCTTATTTTAATTTTAAACGGAATCCAAATGTTGCTGTTTCGATCTGAAAATTTTGACTGAGATGTTCTTGTAGGAAATCCATGTGGTCTTGGGTCGCTGCTACTAGATTTTTTAATTGTTTTTTTTTTATTTATTCGAACTGCTCACCACTGTAAGACGTTTGCTTGTCAAATCATCAAAGAGATTCGATATAATTAAATGACATAAAAGAGTTTACATTGTAAATGCAATAACTGTTTACAATATCATTTTAAAGTTGAAATTAACCGATTAAGGTAAATATATTGCTACGCGCTGGGGTTCGGGATAAATAAAAATTCTACAGAAATTCAAGTTGACACAGTATTAGCACTTAGAACAATTAAGACACTTCACAAACACTTTAAAATTCTCAATTCGCTTCTTCTGCTTCGCTTCAGGTGATCCGTTCGCTGTTTCGTTTCGAGTAGTTCCGATTACTAACCGACTGCGTGCCATCTCTGCAACGCTTTTATAGTCGAAACGATATCCCTAGAATCGTCGAGAACATTCCTCACAAGTCGAGTACCTTCGATGTGTGTTTCCGCTATCTGACAATTGATGGCGTTGTACTTCTCGAGCGTTCTAGGTTCTAATAGATCCTTCGATATTCGTTCGGCTATTCGACGATAGATGGCGTTACTCTTACCGGCGTAACAATAACATTACTCTTTTTGTTTTTTTCCTCTCCAGATATTATTTGTATATGTATTATTATGTGCTTGTATATTAATGAGACACATTTTGTTGAAATGACGGCCAATAACGCCATCTAGCTAGGTCTGGATACATTTTGACAAAACTTTGGTTCTATTAGTCGGTAAACTATGGAAGGTAAGTAAGACCATCTCTTATAGGGGACAAGTTGAAAAGATGTCCATCTGTAAACAGCAAGTTGTTCTTCGAAGACTTATCGAAATAGCACTAGTGTAGTAAGTGGAAATGATATGTATATAGCAGTTTTAAACAGAGCGCAATGAGCCGGGTTAAAGAGCATTGTGGTGCCAAGTTTATGGCGCTGTCTTTAAAATCCTTCCACTTGGCTACTGTGGCGCCACCTTGATTGGCTCTCTTACAGCGGTCACTTTTTAACTGAGATGGTGTTCCTTACTACTCACATGGGTATTTTTAAGTTTATTATTTCTCAAATCTATTACTGTGGAGACGATTTTCGATGCTATTGACGTTATAACGCGAATAACTCTCTCTTTCAACAATCTTAATTTAGTATATTGGATGCGAATTGTTTTTTTTTTATTGATTAAAAGACGATTTGAAATATATATTTTTTTACTACAGCAACATTGGCCGCGTTGCTAGCGTATTGTAAACGTCCGTATTTAATAATTCTATGATTTTCCTTTTCGTATTCCATCGATCACGCTTTCTTTGATATTATCGAATTTAATCGCCAATGCTTCGACGTCCTGTCTCGTGTTTCGCGCCAACATACCGAAAAGTTGTATGAATTTCGACAAATCCAAATGTTCCCTGTTTGGATCTAGTCTATAATTAAAAGATTATGAGAAATAGGTACCTATAACGTGTTTATTGCTAAGATAACAAACGAGTATTTGCCAAAGATGTCAGAAGCCACACAATTTGAACATGAAATTATTATCTTATGGTAGGCCGCGGCTTGGCTCTGCCCCTGGCATTGTTGACGTCCATGAGCAACGGTGACCACTTACCATCAGGTGGGCCGTATGCTCGTCTGCCTACAGGCAATAAAAATAATAATTTTGAATGTGCATTTTGTCTTCACTGTCTAAAAAATCATGTTTTTATTATTGTATATAACAATTGCTAAATTCATTCAGCGATTTAATATTCCTCCAGCGAATCCTAGATCTAAATACGTGATATTTTCATATAAATACAACGGGTTTAAGGACCTAATTATTCCGAAATAGATAGACATAAAAATTATGGTCTTAATTGATTGGATCGCAGAGATAATTTAAATGACGCTCTTACTTTGTCATTTGAACTCAAAATCTCGATTGTTATGTGTATGTAAGCAAAAACCTTTATCATTTAAAACCTTTAAAGCTGTTCAATTTTAAAAAAGATTCTTCTTAGACGAAATCACTCACCTGTCATTCATTCAGTGATAAAAGAGTCTTTCAGTTTTGCATAGTATACCTAATAATATATATTTTTTTATGGCTTAGATGGGTGGAAGAGCTCACAGCCCACCTGGTGTTAAGTGGTTACTAGAGCCCATAAGTAGCCCATATAAGTTCTAAGGTCTCAGTATAGTTACAACGGCTGCCCCGCCTTTCAAACTGAAAAGCATTACTGCTTCACAGCAGAAATAGGCGGTGTGGTGGTATCTACCCGTGCGGATTCACAAGAGGTCCTACCACCAGTTACCACCAATACTGCTTAATTTATTAAATTACAGAAAACACAATTAAGTCTTTTGTTGTTAATTCATTCTGTAGTATTCTATATCATTATAAAATACATCCCTTAACACTTTTTTTTCCTACCTATGCTGATAGCCTTGAGAGGCTATTTCAGCTTCTCCTTGACGTGTAGGTGAGCTCGCGGGGCTCAAACCGGGAGTGTTGCTAGCATTGGTCCTAACAAGAGCAGTGTTTCGCAGAATCTACCACTGGATTGGAAACGCGATCCACTGAAAAGATCCGGCAAGAAACTCAGTGGGCTGTGTCTATGGGTTAATTTACTCGTCGAGCCCTTCGTCGCAAGCGACGGGTTCGACGACGGCGAATCACTATTGAAGAATCCAAGACAGCACAATCGCGCGTTTCTTTTATATGTATGTAAGATGGCATTATTTCATATTTTTCTAATTTATGTATTATATTATTAAGCAATTATTCGTGGTAGAGCGTCTTGTAAGTCCGCACGAGTAGGTTCCACCACCCTGAATTCACTCCCACCTACCCCACCACACTTCTGCCGTGAAGCAATAATGCGTTTCGGTTTTAAAGGCGAGGCAGCCGTTGTACTGTAAAAACTGAGATTTTAGAACTCTTGTTTCAAGGTGGGTGGCGGCATTTGCGTTGTAGATGTCTATGGGCTCCAGTAACTATTTAACACCAGTTGGGCTGTCAGCTCGTCTGCCTATTAAGACTTATAGGTATTATATAGGTACCTACGTTTCACGAATATGAAAACAAACCTTTCGTAAACTTCATCAAACAAACTCTCGCTTATAATTCTGCCGTCAATTATGCCGCTTCTGGTAAAATATTCCTTCGTGACGGCATAACTGACTCCCTCTGATCCGGTGACGGCTTTTAATATTGTGTGTATCTCTTCTAAATTCATATTTTAGGACATTTTCTTTTTTATAATGCGTATTAGTACGTATTATGTTTACGTAAATTATTTGTTTAGTTTGAAAAACTAGATGGTTTAGAGATTTTGATAATGACTCAGTTCATGTAGTGTCTTGAATAGTGCTCCTCCCCTACTCATATCTTCGCGGGGACGTTGTGAGGTACAGTAGGAGGGGAACCCCCCCGGTTTATAGGGACTGTCAAACGAATTTCTGTCCGATGCTTACGTGTTTGCCGATAGTTGGGGAATACTTTTATCTAAAATAATGTTATTTTTAGCATAAATAAAACTTAACAATTTTAGTCAGGTTTTTTGTGTTAACGAGTTAGGCGTTTTGGTGCAAACGACAACTTTGAGTTCAATTTTGCGCGATCGAGAACATTAAAAAATTCGCACGGGAGTGTTGCTAACACTGGCCCTAGCAAGAGCAGTGCTTCGCAGAATCTATCACCGGATAGAAAACGCGACCCACTAAGAAGATCTTAAAAACTAAGTGGGTTGTGTCTGATGGTTTTTTCATCTACCTAGTAACCTCGAGGGGCTATGCTAGCTTTTCCAGACGTGTTAGGGCTCAGGCTGGCGGAGGCATTTGAGAACTTAACTAGAGAATAGACAGTAAGTTCTGAGTCGGATTTATTAGAACAGACCCGAGTATTAGGTATTGTTACGTCAGTAAGAGTAACGCCATCTATCGCCGAATAGTCGAACGAATATCGAAGGATCTAGTAGTACCTAGAACGCTCGAAAAATACAACGCCATCTATTGTCAGATAGCGGAAACAATACTAGAGATGTGTGGAATATTGACGATAATTCTAGGGGTGACATATCGGCTATAGGGCTATAAGCGTTGTAGGGATGCCACGCAGTCAGTTAGTAATGAGAGTTTTAAAGAGTTTGTTGAGTGTTTTAAGTGTTCCAAGTGTCGAATACAGTTTTTAGTTGTACTTTGGTGGAATTTTATTTATCCCGAACCCCAGCGCGTAACATTATTTTACGAGATTAGGCTGCACGTAATCCTATTTTGTCAATGTTTATAATCCACCTGTTCCAACTAATCTTCGTATTCTTAAAACATAAAATCGAATGTTCAGCGTACGCTCCCACCTGTTACACGTTGCCAAGTATCTCACACTCCCTAAATGCCTAACCTTAATCATTCAAATAATGATTCAACGATCACATTAATCAAATCCTAATAACGAACTCAGAACTTGAGATTAGGAATAACCAAATTGAGATTGCTTGCTAGTAAAGTGTTGGTTGTGAATGAGATTAGGATAATTATGTGGATTAGGTATTTATTAAGATTAGGAACAGGTGGACCTAGTATCTGATTTAACTAGTACGAACCATCTCTACTTTCTATAATACCAGCGCACTGACATCGACCGTTTCAGTATGAAGGGTCAGACAATCCTGGTATAATCCGATCGAATCTTCGACCTCATGTCTCATGAGCGCGCCATTAAGTTTCTCGTCTATCGCCTATTCGCTTGGAGCCTCTGGGTCTGCGGAGGGACTTCAGTTCCCTCTGTATTTTGTACCGTATGTTCCACGGGGAGTGCTCTGAGGAATTGTTTGAGATGATACCATCACCTCGATTTTACCATCGCACCGCCCGCCACCGGAGTAGAGTTCATCCATACTACCTGGAGCTACTGTGGTCAATTCATAGTGCGTTTCCAGAGATCTTTTTTTCCACGCATCGCCCGGCTTTGGAAAGAGCTCCCCTCCACGGTGTTTCCCGAGCGCTATGACATGTCCTTCTTCAAACGAGGCTTGTGGAGAGTACTTAACGGTAGACAGCGGCTTGGTTCTGCGGCTGGCTTTGCTGAGGTCCGTGGGCGACGGTAACCACTCACCACAGGTAGGCGGTATGCTTCTCTGCCTACAAGGGCAATAAAAAAAAGCGGTTTACCCTCCCATAAGAAGTTATAACTTCAAAAATAGTTTGGTAACGAAAAAAGTCTAACCGAATTTCACTCGGCTGTCAACTGCGAAAATGGATAATAAAAAAACTCACAATATAAAAAATATTTTAATAACATAATTAGTTATTTTATGTACAAAATAAAAACATTACAAAGTTACATTCTTTTGTAGTAGGTACAGGAAATATTTTTAAAGTTATTTCTAGCGTTGACTGAATTCGATGTTGGCCAGTGACATTAACATTATCATATTCCCGATAAAATAACTGAGTTTCTCGCTCATAGCTGGAATAGCCTCTTATTCTACCAGCGAATAAATAGGGAAAGGGTTAGAGGTATGTGAATTTTTCAATTTGTCAATTTAATGTTTAGTCAGATATTTCAAAGTGTAATAACAATGTCTATGTCACTTGTAAATTACCGAATTCAGTCAACGCATAGATCGACAGATGAAAAGATATTTGGTCTAAGCGACATTTCCCTTAACACGCGACATTTATCTTTGTAATTAAAGGTCCGTTTTATTTGGTATTAACATCAAAAGTTTGATGTTATTAATTGAGCTTCAATTAAGTTTTTTACTGGTGGTAGGACATCTTGTGAGTCCGCACGGGTACCACCACCCCGCCTATTTCTGCCGTGAAGCAGTAATGCGTTTCGGTTTGAAGGGCGGGGCAGCCGTTGTAACTAACTATACTGAGACCTTAGAACTTATATTTCAAGGTGAGTGGCGCATTTACGTTGTAGATGTCTATGGGCTCCAGTAACCACTTAACACCAGGTGGGCTTTGAGCTCGTACACCCATCTAAGTTAATAAAAAAAAGGTTACTCCATCCAAATAGTTGAAAAAGTTTTTATTTTAATGATATTATTTCCAAATTTGAACCTTTAAATGGCTCTCCTGTATAGTTTGCAAAAATGTCGCTTAAACTTAAATAGCCTTTTGCTCCTCGATATAATAATATGTATATTAAATAAAATATTCACAATAATTGTTCATTAACTTTTTTATTTTGATTCGAGACAATTCTCGGCCGATTTTATTTTATTTAAGTTCACGGATGCGTTAATGTAAAAACGAACCAATTCGTTAACAAAAATTATTATATGAGCAACAAACAAACATTTCAGACACTCATCTGCTAACGTACACGACCAATACAGGCAGACAAACATTTATTTATATCGAGAGTTGAAAGGCTGTTTGGTTTAAGCGACATTTTTGCAACTTGACAGGAGAACCATTTAAAGTTTAAAATTTAGAAAACATATCGACGCTTGAAAGGCAAACGTGACTAAGCGACAATAACTGCTTTGTACATAAATGATAGGCAATAACCATATTCGATGTGCAAAAAAAATATATTTCTAGGTCTATTAAAATCATTTCAATCCTACAGCTACTAGCTAGATTCTACTACAGCTAGATTCGTTAAAATAAATTTTGTTTTCAGGTATTTCAACTTTAAATTAGTCTACTGTAAAGTTCACGCATTGTCGCTTAGTCACGTTTGCCTTTTGAGCGTCGATATACATAATAAAAGCTTCTTCAGATATTCGAAAGGAGTAAATCTAATTAAAGCTCAATTAAAAACATCGAACTGTAGACTAGCCATTTCAAGTAAAAATTTTGAAAAAATATCATAACTTTTTCAGGTATTCGAATGGAGTAAGCTTAAAACCTCAATTAAAAATATCGAACTGTAGAATAGCCATTTGAAGTTTAAATTTTGGAAAAAATACCATAATAAAAACTTCTTCAGATATTCGAAAGGAATAAGCTTAATTAAAGCTCAATTAAAAACATCGAACTGTAGAATAGCCATTTGAAGTTTATAATTTGGAAAAAATATCATAACTTTTTCAGATATTCGAATGGAGTAAGCTTAACTGAAGTTCAATTAAAAACATCGAACTGTTGATGCTGATACCAAATAAAACGGACCTTTAATTACAAAGATAAATGTCGCGTGTTAAGCGAAATGACGCTTTAATAAAATACGTTTTTATCCCTCGGTATATATAAATATGTACGCGTTATTTTTTAAACAACAAAATCATCGGTAACTGCCCCCCGTCTCGAACCCGGGACATCCCGATTACATATTCGACATTTTGTACTAAATAATAAACACTAATGTTTAATTATTATTTTTAATTACCAAATATAAAGATTACACCTTTTAAGTTTGACAGTGAAATGGTTGAACATAATATGGAAAAAATAATCTAAAAAAATACAATATCTCCTCGTGTCTCGTGTGGGCACACTAGCGCCGCTTTAAACACGCGCTCGGGTGTCCATTATTTAAAGTGAGACTTCCGAAAACTTTAACTCCTGATAGCTTCGTTGTCGTGCGATCATTATCGAATCTGATAACGCCTATAACACGGTCACCCTACGCTCGTCTTACGTTAATGTCGTTATAAAAATCTAGGCTATGGTAACCATGATATATGCAAGAAATTCTTTGGTTACGTTACGTCATTAATGTGAATAGATTATTGCTCTAAATTCAGTAAGCGCAAAGCTAGCCGAGTGCTTTGGAGAAAGACATGCGACTGCTGAGGTTCGTGGACATCTTCAAATCAATCTGTGATTCCAAGTGATTCCCAAACTACGGCTGGAAGGCGCAAATTCCGCGCGGGTAGGTACCACTTGCCTATTTCTGCCGTGAAGCAGTAATGCGTTTCGGTTTGAAGATTTGGGGCAGCCGTTGCACTGTATTGGGACCTTAGAACTCATATCTCAAGATGGGTGGCGGCATGGCATGGTGGCATTTACGTTGCAGATGTCTACGGGCTCCGGTAACCACTTAACAACAGGTGGGGCGTGAGCTCGTCCACCCATCTAAAAAAAATTTGTGCGACATTTCGCACAAATCAACACTCAAATACAAATAATTTAATGACTACATTAAAATAACGTATGGGCAATGAAAAATTGGTTACTTTTTGTACAATGCTGTTTTTATTTTGAAATTATCAAAAAAAAAACCAAAAAATATGATACTTAATTCACAAACCGTCTTTAGTGTGTCCCGTAAGCGAATTTATCAAGTACGAAATGACTGTCACCAATTACCGTGGTCCGTGGGCTACAGCAATACCAGGCACGACCGAGCCTCTATGGATTAGCGAGGCAACATAATTGTATGGTTTTCATTCATCTTAGTTTGTAAACAATAAACAAAAGGGACATGATTGACATTTCTATATGTATACAGGGTGTTCCAGAAAAAAATGGATAATCCTGAAACACCTTATAGTCGAGCTATTGGAGACACAAAATAAAAAATAAAAACAAATATTTCTGAGGTAGCAACCAAATTAAAAATAAAGAAAAAATACAAAAATTTCATGATTAAAATTTAAGTTCAGATAAACTTTTATAAAAAATACACTAGCTACTCATATAAGCTTTCCTGCATATTCCTTAGTATAGTCCATGTAGAATATTACAACACCAAAAATCCTATAGATTTCATTTATTGGTAGCTTTTGTATATTCCAGAAACGCACAGCAGTATGGAAAATATCATTTTTTTTTTAAATACTTAGTTTGGATTACTACCTGAGATCTTTTATTTTTTATTTCTAGTCCCCAATAGCTATACTATGAGGTGTTTCAGGATTAACCATTCTTTCTGGGACACCCTGTACATATCGAAGGGCGAAAAGCTATTCCGTTTAAGCGAAATTTTTCCAACTTCACAAAAGAGCCATTTGAAGTTGAAACATTTGAAAAAAAATATCATAACAAAAAAAAAACTTCTTCAGCTATTTACCGAATGAGGTAAACTTAATTGAAGCTCAATTAAAAACATCGAACTGTTGATGCTGATACCAAATAAAAGGGAGCTTTAATTACAAAAAGAAATGTCGCTTAAACCAAATAGCCTTTCATCGCTAGAATTGTATATGTATTTTATAAATTCGTTAAGTAAACTAAAAATATTATTCGTTCATTGCTTCTAGCATAACATTAGTCACTTAAATTTAGAATTGTTAAATAAAAATATATAATATTATATAATACTATTTTTTGTTTGTTTTAAAAAACCCAACTTGTGACGTCATTTGTGTGTAATCTTTGTCTTTCAGTGTACACCCGTGAAGCGAGTCCATTGTCATCACCCGCCGGCTGCCCCGCGCGTTGACTTGAAACGAACGATTGCTTAGAGGCAGAACTAGGCAGTAGGTCTTAGTGAAGTTCACTAACACACTGATTTGGCCCCAAATGACGTCATAATTTGGGCGCGACTTCTTGAAAACTTTAAGATTGAGTGCGTTGCTCGCTTGAAATATGTCCGCGGTCACATGTGATCACTTGTATCGATAGAGCTTCTGGTAAAGTTCACTAACACACTGATTTGGCCCCAAAAGACGTCATAATTTGGGCGCGACTTCTTGAAAACTTTAAGATAGAGTGCGTTGCTCGCTTGAAATATGTCCGCGGTCACATGTCATCACTTGTATTGATAGAACTCCTGGTAAAGTTCACTAGCACACTGATTTGGCCCCAAATGACGTCATAATTTGGGCGCGACATCTTGAAAACTTTAAGATAGAGTGCGTTGCTCGCTTGAAATATGTCCGCGGTCACATGTCATCACTTGTATCAATAGAGCTTCTGGTAAAGTTCACTAGCACACTGATTTGGCCCCAAATGACGTCATATTTTGGGCGCGACTTCTTGAAAACTTTAACATTGAATGCGTTGCTCGCTTGAAACATGTCCACGGTCACATGCGATCACTTGTATTGATGATTGGAAGCCTCATAATGTATTCGATTTTGTCTGGTTTGCGGAATGCACCTACGCTATCAGTCTTATCAGGCGTTCAGGCTAGGGCTGTCGCGCGAAAGCTGTTTCGGTATGAAGGAGACGGCGGCCAGCTCGTCGTCGTCCTGCAGGAGGCAACCCTCGTCGGCTTTGGCTCTGTTGAAAAATCTGCAAGCAAACATACAAAAAGAAAAACTCGATTTAATTCGCACTAAAACTCCCATCGGAACATCCCTGTGACAGAATCGACATGCATAATGTTTTCAACATGCAAAAAAAAAAACTACTACAATTTTACTACTACACTACAAAAAAAAAGCGTGTTAGCAATAAAAAAAAGTTTTTTAATTCTACTCAGGATGACCGGACTACGGTAAACTAACACAAAATTATTGTCATGTCAAAAGGACGTGTTTGTAGTTAATGAATATTAAATTGACAGGTATATAAATGTAAAGAAAAACCTTTATTAAAAAACTCATTAATTATTAAAAATAAAATTTCTTTAGTGGTATGGAGTTAAGTCTGTCATTCAGTAAAAAGAGAGTTCGGTTTTGTATAGTTCATTAATACTGTTTACTGTTTACTATTAATTTTATAAGAGATTAAAAAGGCTTTAAAGGTTCTCATCTTATTATACATTTAACAGAAAACGCAATTAAGAAGCCTTTTATTGTTTATTCATTCTGAAATACTCCATATCATTATATATATCTTAATATATATAAATTACTTGTCACGTTGTTTGTCCGCGATGGACACCTAAACTACTGAACCGATTTGAATTTTTTTTTATTTTAAATATGTGTTTTGTTCCAACTTAGACCATAGGATGGTTTTTATTTCGATTAATGGTTGCAATATTTATTAATTAACCATAAAATGATTTCTTAAGTTGATTATTGTTATTAATTGTAAGTTTCATAAGTCTAAAACAGATGGCGCCTTAAATCAGTTTTTACAGACAACTGTAACACTGTCTGACATTAATATCTCATAGATGGCGCTGTGTTAAAAATACCAACGTTTCACATAAGCTACAATTTAATGGCATAAACACCACGTGTTGCTGAGGCTAAAGTTAAAGTGAAATTTATTTCGTAGTAAACGCAATACACTGAAATTCAATTGTTTGTTTGTTAATTTTGGTATTAGCATAGCCGGTCACGTGTTATTTAGAAACAAAAATCTTAGCCACAGCAACGTGTGGCCGGGTCTGCTAGTGTATCTATATATATATTGAGCCGATACAGGCGGGTTAAATACAAAACACAAACACACACCGCAAACACAAAAAAACCCACATATAAACAACAAATCAAAGTATTTTCAGCACCACAACAACATAGAGGATAATCGGGAACAAAATATGTATAAAGTTATATATTATAATAGTTGTATGATTGGGAACTCCTAACCAAGGGCGCCTTTGGCACATGTAGTGCCATCTAGTGAACGCGCGGTCAAAGCAAATAGGCGTGAATGTAACAGGTTCATTGACAGTGCCCAACACTGGATAGAAAACACTATAGGTCTGCACTAGGACATCTGCTCCTAACATCCCGCACCACTTCTTGGATAGAGCCGGCTCTGCTTCTAACATCCTACAGTGCTCAGTCTACCTTCTTTTTTTTCCTACCTACGCTGATGGTCTTGAGAGAGGTGTATACGCGAGTAGGTGAGCTCACGGGGTTCAAACCTGACGTCGTTGCTAGCACGAACCCTAGCAAGAGCAGTGCTTCGCAGAATCTACCACCGGATCGGAAACGCGACCCACTGAGAAGATCCGGCGAGAAACTCAGTGGGCTACAGTCTACCCGTGAGCGTGACCACGTATTGCGAACCCGTTCAAAATGACCTTCGTGGTAAGACCTAATAGTGTTTATAAAGTTGATCTACAGCTAAAATGTAATATACCTTATATTTTAAATAAACTCTAAGTCAGTTAACTCACCGGCAATTGAGTGCCGTGCAGCTGGAGCTCGTAAAGCTCGGGTGGACTTTTCGTCCAACGAAAGCTTACCGCATTTAATAGGTTATTAATAGAACATAGCGGATATAGGCTTGCATCGATAGCTACGATCCTCGGTTTACCCACGTATGACGTCATGCGACGATGAGCTCTACGACCGAGATTAAACAAAATCACAAACAGACAGACAAACAAAATAACGAAAACCCATAATATTGCATTGTCATTTACGAACCATTTTACTAAACCTTTATCAACGAGGAACGCCAGCTTTCCGTTTGCTTGCTATTAAAAAAAAAAAACAAGTTAAGAAAAGGACAGCCGCATTAAAACGTACAAGTGGAAAAGAGAGGGACGATGATTTGTTTAAGTACAGTCGACAAGATAACTAGTTTTTATTTTATTTTTGTTATTGCCTTTGTAGGCAGACGAGCATACGACCCACCTGATGGTAAGTGGTTATCGTCGCCCATAGACGTCAGCAATGCTAGAGGCAGAGCCAAGTCGTTGCTTCCCATGTTCCGAGAATTCCTGTTTTAATTTTATTATAGGGCATTTTTTTTATGTATTCAAGTAAATATTTCCAAGCCAGAGCGAGAGCTTCATCATGAGGGGTCAACGTCACCCGTGGACATCATCTATATCAAAGGAAAACTAATATCTATATGTTCGTAAATTATAGCAGCGAAGTTCATCAAAAAATTCATTAAAAAATCTATTTTATTAAATTATACATTCTAATTTGTTGACGACTGTACTTTAAAGATATATTTTTGAAATAATATAATTTGGATTCTCGATCTTAATGTCTTTGTTCGCAAGAGCTATTTTCGAGCAACGACTGTTGATTATGATTTGCAAAAATCGAAGTGTTTAGTTAGTTTAGTATTTTGAACAGTATTTTAATTAATTAATAATTTAATTAATGAACGAAATGTTTTTGAACATTATTCCGAGCTTACAAAAGTATTATTTAAAACAAAAAGAATTAAATACGAAAACAGAATAATAGTTGAATTGACATGAAATGACATTCTTCCGTCGCTACTGGTCGTGTGTGACTCGCGTACCATACGACCCGGATTCGACTCGAGATGCGGTATCTTTAGCCAAGCAATATAGTCAACATCGACTTCTAAACAATAGAGGACTAAATCTTTTTTATTTTTTATTGCATTGCATCTAGTGTTAAGTGGTTACCGAAGCCCATGGACATCTATAAGGTAAATACCGGCACCCAGTTTGAGACATGACTTTTACGGTCATACTATAAAAACGGCTGCCCCACCCATCAAATCGATTACTGCTTCACGGCAGAAATAGGCAGGGCGGTGGTGCCTACCCGCGCGGACCCACAAAAGGTCCTACTACCAGTAGAAAAATCTCTTGTTGTATTGCTCGTCTGCCCCTTCACACCGGCGCTACTTACTTGGATAGAGCGGTGACACTACGGTCGCTGGGGTCCACTCTCTCGTCGAGTCCCCGGTGCACGGACACGCTGTCCAGATCCTCGAGCCGGATCGACTGGAGGTACTCCGGCGTTCTCAACTCTTCGATCGTTGGTTTCCTGAAACTGTTCGAAGAGGCTCATGGGGGCGACTCACCCCACTACTCCCCGTGGGAGTAGTGGGGAAATTTGAGAGTTACACCAGCATAGACGAATTTACTAATGGCGTCTTGTGGCTCCACTCTGTATATATCTGCCGATATATATAAGGAAAGAACGCCGTGATGCCCATGGGCTCCTGTGACCACTTGACAGTAAGTAAAACTCTATAACCTATAGCTGTGATACTCTGTGGACTTAAATACAATTAAATTAGTTAGAGGACTTTTTGACGGGAACGCGAGGAGTGAAGTTGTGTGATTTGTTTTATTTTGTCTATTTAGTGTTTATTCAGGTTTAAATGTATGTAACGGTGGTTTATTAACTGTTTAATATCTGTGAAAGTGCTCAAATGTGGGAAAATGAAACAAAGCCGCTGGACGTAGCTTCTCGGGATCCTCCAAAAAGTCCACTGAAAAAATCTCAGTAAATAACCACCATTTTACTGAGATTATATTTCATCCCGTATCATCTCATCTCATTTCATTTCATTTCACTCCATCTTATCATTTTTTATAAAAATAAGAATATAAAATAAAATAAGACATGACTAAAGGTCTTAGTTACCAGGTCATAAAACCCTTTAAAAAAAATCAATATAAGTTAGAACATTCATTATCAGAGATTTCAACGATAGACCGGTCCCTGGTCATAATCGAACTCGTAACCCGAAGTGTTTTATACGATTCTGAATGTCACTCACGTTTTGAGCAGCAAGCTTGAGCAGACTACGGAGACTGAGCTCATCGCCATCGCAGCTGACGCCATCCAGGGCTGCAAGGAGACCACACATTACTACAAGACTCGTTTGAGGCTTGGAACTCGAAGCTTCCTGTACGCATAAGACGTGAGGCAGTTCACAGACACAGCCCACTGAGTTTCTCGCCGGATCTTCTCAGTGAGTCGCGTTGCCAATCCGGTGGTAGATTCTGCGAAACACGGCTCTTGCTAGGGTCAGTGTTAGCATCACTCAGGTTTGAGCCCCGCGAGCTCACCTACTAATTTGGTGAATCTAGAATAACCCCTCGGGGTTACTAGAATAGTTGGGAAAAACTAAAAAGAAATGAAATCGCGCCATCTAGTGGTCGTGAGCCGCAACTACTCGTGAAAATTCGGCTCAGTTTGGGTAACGCGTTTCGGCAGAGACAAGCTGTCATAGCTCGGGTGGAATCGAGACACATGCGTTGCCTGACTTAGGAAGAGTCAACATAGATAATACACATAAATTAGTTATAGATAAGCAACTCGAGCACTCAACAAAAATGTTTACGGGCGTCGGCCACTAGATGACTTCGCTTCGATTAATTTCTCATTGCTCCTGTAGATGGCAGTAACAAATTATCTATTTTCACAAAACACTAAATGATAAAAGGACAAACCCGAAATCCATACAAACTTGGGCCTGGCGTTACAGTGCTAGAATTTGGGCATAAGTTACAATACCTAAGAAGGTTTCATGAGCCCAATTTTCAGGTCTCCCAGCAATGGCCAAATTGGTAAAATCAGACAATGTTTACATTTTAGGTTATGTTTATTGTTCGAGATATTTTAATAAAAACGATATTTTTGAGGCTGTTTCCTACTAAAGATGAGTAATTTTTTACGAAACCTGTTGCAGCAACAGGTTGCTTTAAAATAAAAATGGAACCTGTTACGAGAAATCGCGCGTTAGGTTGTTTACGAAAACAAAGAAAGCCAAAAATTAAAAACAACGTAATGCGAAACGCGCTGCGCACGAAATGATTTATTTAAGGGATTTTATGACCTGGTAACTAAGACCTTTAGGTCAGTCTTATTTTAATTTTAATGAAAACTTTTTATATAAAATATAAATCATTACGTGCTCCCATATTATCTCATCACATTTCATTTCATTTTCCGCACTAATCCGCACGTTTGTGGAGCTAGTTACGTATATTGAAATAAGTGTTGCAGATGTTTACAAAGATTGTTTAAAACAAAAAATTTGATTCAACTTATTTTCTACACTTGGCCATTGTCAATGAAGATAAGATTTCAATAGGTTAATCAAGCAAAATAGACGAATTTTTTGGTACATATCCCATTCGTGTAACGCTTAGGCCCAAAATGGGGTTTCTCCTTTAATCACTTTGTCTATAAGAACTAAAGACTTGTATTGTAAAGATTTATTAATTTTGTTATTTTCTGTGTATAGTTATACAATAATTAAATGACTTAAAGTTAACAGCACATAAGTTTAGGGGCATCCGCAATAAGATGTCGCTAGTTTATGTACAAAAAAATATTTGTCTAAAGTATCGCAGTTTCAGGGCTCTTGAGAGTGAAGAGGTCTCAGAGCTGTCGTCGTTTTGTGCTGCGCAAGCTCTTTCCACGACTACCCACCATACGCCGACTATGTCAATAAATAATAAAGATATCGGCCCGTTCTGCGACATTTATATTTGAAGAACCAGTATCATATGCGTACGTGATATGTGTACTACCCGTGCGCGATAAGTCGAGACTCCGAGATTGTCTCGTTTACCTGCAGCTGCATTCCGTACAATGCGAAGGCTCCGCTCGCCAGCGGTATCCCTAGCAGATTGTAGACGGAAGCGAAAAGGAAGTTCAGCCTGACCCTCCTCACGGTGGTCCTGGACAGGTTCAAGCAGGCCACCACGTCTAGTAGATCGTTCTGAAACAGTACAGTTACACTATGCTTTCTTGTCGTATCATTCTTGTCAAAGCCGTCGTGGTCGTCATTCGATATCATTGCTGTGGGCAAATGGTATTTGCTTCACGAGCAATCGCTAATTCTCTTGATTTGTGATGAGCCTGGTACACTCATGCAAACAACTGGCAACTGTCGACTTGACTAGGTACATCGCATGGGCAACCTTTCACTTTGCTACCGTTACAATATTACGATTTGGCTGTATGGTTTATGTTTCCTTTGCTCTCAAAAAAATTATTAAATTACTTATATTTGGCACGAGCTCATAGTCCATCTAATGTTAAGTGGTTACCGGGGTTCCAATGCCGTCATCCACTCTGAGATATAAGTTCTAAGGTCTCACTATATATAGTTACAACGGCTGTTCAACCTTCAAAACGCATTACTGCTTCACGGCAGAAATAGGCAGGGCGGTGGTACCAACCCGTGCGGACTCACAAGAGGTCCTACCACCAGTAATTACGCAAATTATAATTTTGAGGGTTTGGTTTTTATTACACGACGTTATTCCTTCACCGTGGAAGTCAATCGTGAACATTTCTTAAGTACGTATTTCATTAGAAAAATTGGTACCCGCCTGCGGGATTCGATCACCGGTGCATCGCTACATACGAATGCAACGGACATCTTATCCTTTAGGCCACGACGACTCTTACAACAGTACAGGATACTGACCCTCATGAGCACCAGGTCTGCGGCCTCCACGGCCACGTCGGTGCCGCTGGCGATGGCGATGCCCACGTCGGCCTGCGCCAGGGCTGGAGAGTCGTTGACGCCATCACCGACCTGCAACCCACCAGCTTGGAGTTAGAGGCTCCCGGCACGTGTCGAGGAGCGACGATAGCACAATAATATCGAAGGTTGAAAGGCTAATTGTTTTAAGCGAAATTTTTGCAACTTCACAGGAGACCCATTTAAAATTTGGACAAATAGGTCTGTTTTTACGTATTTTGTTATTATTATTGTAAAGCGTATTTTGTTAGTTTTTATAAACTATTATTTATTTTTCTTTTTTTAGTTGATTTTCAATTTCTTAAATTTTTTGTCAATTTTTTTTAAATTTTGAATTGTCATCGGTCCTTAATAAGTATACCAAATTTCGGGTTAATCCGACGTTTTGAAGGGGGTCAAAATCATGTTCAAAGATTCCGTTATATACTAACATTAAAATGTCGAACTCTTGATGCTGATACCAAATAAAACGGACATATCATTACAAAGATAAATGTCGCGTAATAAGCCCCTCCTGGCTGAGCCTTTGCTCGCCCATCTGTCCTGGTGAAACTGGAAAGGCCTCCGGGCAACCAGTAAGCCTTCATTATAAAAAAAAAACTATTAAGCGAAATGTCGCTTAAGCCAATTCAAAGCCTTTCACCGCTCGATATCATTAAACATTAATATCTTGACCGGGTCAAACCGAAAAAAAGCGTGCTTTTTTAATATTCAAAACTACTTAAACGTCTTAATTTCGCAATTACCGATAAATCAACGTTTTTAAACTTCATTAACTAGACTTTGTGTGACACAAAAGGATTATAAGTCTTGCGGTGGGAGCGATTAAGGTCAAATTTTGGATTAACTTCCCAACAAACAATTTGTGTGACACAAAACGAATAAAAGTCTTGCGGTGTTAGCGATTAAGGTCGAATTTCGATTGTTCGGCCGGACGTGAGGTGCTCACCATGGCCACCCTCTGCCCCTCCTCCTGCAGCTTCTGTATTTTGGCGACCTTGTGCGAGGGCAGCACCTCCGCGTACACCTTCCTGATGCCGACCTGGAGACCAGAGAGGACGGTTAAACCCAAGCTTGCACTGTCGAGGATAAGTCTACATATAGAAATAATAATAATAACTGGGATCATATCGCGCAATTTCATCCAATTCCAATTTAGGATTCCCCGTGTTATGGGTACCACTGAGCTGGGAGACTGACATACATACTTATATACGTTTAAATATATAGATACTAAGCACCCAGACACTAATGCCGGTGCAACAGTCAAAGGAAATGTTTGAAAAAAAAATGCTCTGAAGAATTATTTGAGATGATTCCATCATCTCGTTTATACCATTGCACCGCCCGCCACCGGAGTAGAGTACATCCATACTACCTGAAGCTACTGCGGTCATTCATAGTGCGGTAACCACTCACCATCAGGTGGGCTGTGTGCTCGTCTGCCTACAAGGGCAATAAAAAAAAGGCACTAACTAGTGTACCACCGGGACAAGTATGAGGAGGTGATGATGGCTCACCTGTCTGGCGATGGCGACTGCTGTCTTCCTGTTGTCTCCCGTCAGCAGGCACACCTCGAGGCCCATCTTCTTCAGCCAGTAGACGGCCAGGTGGGCTTCGGGCTTCACTTCGTCTGCGACGCCGATGGTGCAGACCAGCTGATCTGCGGAGTCGCGGGCTGGTGTAAACGACGCTTCCGAAGGATTTTTCTTTTTACACAGCAACATTATTAACAATGGCTTCTGCTACAAGAGCTCACACATTATTAACAATGGCTTCTGCTACAAGAGCTCACAGATATTGCAGTATGTACCGCATCCACTTTGAGGCGTGAGGTCAGCGTCAAGTGTATAAAGGCTCACCAGACTTTTAACATTAAAATTATTCATGATGGAAGTCATTCGTGCATGAGCTAAGTACGAATTGATTTCAGAGCAGTGTAGGCCCCGACCTTAAAGTATACATAAACTATAGAGCACCCGTTAGCGAGTATGAACTGTACATACTTTACGTACATACTTTTGTGAAATATACTTTTATTATTATTATTTTAAAAAGTCATAACTGTGTTTTATTGATCTTACCTAATACTAACATACGTGTATATCAATCGTGGCACATCACTATTCAACCGCTACAACATCTGCTTACACTTGGTATAATGGACAACAAGCGATGCGCGCGCTCTATAGTTTATGTATACTCTAAGGCCCCGACACTGTCGTTACCTCAACAATAGCCACACTTGCCAGTAATAGTAATAGTAAGGTCTTGTAACCATTGGACGTAAATAAATAAAAAAAATAAATAGTAATAGTATTATCGTGCTTTATTTTATTTTATTTTATTTTCTTTGTTGTTTCGTTGTAGGCTGCCCACAGGTTGTTATTACTGTATGTGCTTTTGTATGTTTTGTATTCGGGTTTACCATTTAATTTGATTTTTGTTGTTTTTGTTTTTTTTACTAGTTTATACCATGTTCTAAATCTGTACACTAGCCTTCATTCCCGCAATGAACCAAAGGGAAACGGGGGTGACTCTTTGTTTTATCGACTTTGAATAGCATTAGCTGAGCCACCTCCTTTTGTCTTTTCTTATTTCTTTTTTTTGTATTTTATTTTATTTAATGTGAAAGGCAATAAATGATTGTATCATTATTATTACTTACCATCGATGGCAGCCAGCACGGCCGTATAGCCGAGCTCCTCGTGTTGGGACAGCGCCTTCTGGACCGGCCGCGGCACGTTGACTCCGTTGCGACTCATCCACTCGCGGTTCCCGATCAGGACTATGTGCTCCGCCGACTGTAAGTCAAAGTTCATACGGCACTTCTATTACCAAAGTTCCTAGGTGTAGCACCCCCCATCATTCTTCCTAAGGCTGGCTTTAAGCCTGCGCTCCAACTTGAAGGATAGGACCACCGTAGTGCATTACTATAAAGACTGTTTATGTGTCAAGGTGGGGACGGTAATAACGTGGTGATGTCCATGGACTTCGGTTACCAGCAACAGGTGGACCACGAGCTCGTTCATATATAGAAAAACTTTTCATGCCACACACAGACAGGTTTATGAGGGGCCTCAGCCTCTGTACTCACCTCATCTCCGTCCTCAGTCCTGATCAATCGGTGCAGTCTCGCGGCTGCCTGGGCCGAGCTCAGGGCAGCATCGTCACTGCCCGCCACCACCTCGACGGGGACGCCGTGAAGGTCGAACGTGCACCCCGGCCTGTCAGCGTTAACGGAGCCTTACAAACACATTTTCGCCCCAAACTCCTAGATATTTGGTCACATCATTGACCCAAGTGGCACAAAATATTCTAATGCTCTTCCCTGAAGTACATTCAGCCACTAAGCCTACCCATATTTCGTTATGAGCACTTTAATGTCTGTGTTGTGTTATTATATTTGCATCAAATGTGTCATAGGGAACTTCTATGTTCCCTGGATGTCAAATGGGCATCACTATGCTATCTATTTATGCTTTGACCTCCTCCCCATTCGCTGATAGCGTAAGGGGTTATTCTACCTTCTCACGGACGGGTAGATGAGCTCACGGGCTCATCCTGAGGGAATTTGCTAACAATAGCCCTAGCAAAGGGCAATGCTTCGCAGAACCTACCACCCAATTGGAAATCCGACCCACTGAGAAGATCCGGCGAGAAGCTCAGTGGGTTGTGTGATTTCTGCTGTGAAGAAGCTACGTTATTTCGATATCAAGAGTACGACAAAAGATGTTTAATACAATTGATCCTTCGAAAATGACTATGGACACCAGACTTTTTATTGCTTTGATTGTTGAACGAGCTCTAGATCTGGCTAGTTTAATCGGAGGTCTGAATCCTGTGTATATAGTATAGTATAGTATAAAGTCTGTGACACCGATCAAACTGGACCGCATTACTGCTTCCGTAGTAGATTCATTCGCGAAACAGCTACTCTTGAGTTGTTGGGTCTCCCTTGGAGGCGCTCGGGTAGCTGTTAGCAAATCTCGCCCCTTCTGGTTGAACCCTTGTTCGCCCACCTGTCCTTGTGAAACTGGAAAGGCCTCCGGGCCACCAGTAAACCATCAATCATAAAAAGAAAGAAATAAAAGTAGGACTTTGATAAAAACACATACTTGGCTTGGTTGACGATGTTGGCCAGCTCCGGCACGTGTATGGCGGAGCTGTTCGTTGCTTTTAGCTTCGCCCTGAGGCCGCATCCAGGGGCGGCCACGAAGCCGGTACACTGCAGGGGGTTCGCGCCCTTCAGCACCGCACTGCACCACTGGACTATAGCTGAGGGCGGACCAGGATGTTGTTGACGTGGCGAAATACCAATAAAATTAGACTAGTACTAATATTAGATAATATATTAATAGAAAAAGGAAAGCGAGACCATGACAAGTATCCTATACGAAGCATAATAGTTGACGCTGTATCTAAATTGAATCAAGATTATAAAGTTACACACAAAGACACAAAATTACCTCCCCTCATCCATCATCCGATTTGTTGAATAAGCACGTATTGCTCTAAGCAAATATGTACCACGTGATCTTGTTGTGATTGGGCATTCAGTGCTGCAAGAATTCCACTCAGGCAGCCGACAGTCTATGGCAATAACCAGGACATCGCCACAGCTAGCGCGTACCTGAAGCTACAGGGTGTTCGGAGTTGAGTTCGGCGGCGAGGAGGCAGGCGACGAGGTCCGGCAGGGCGGCCGGCTCCCCCGTGAAGAGGCACAGCCTGGCGACGGTGGTGCAGCCCCGCGTTATGGTGCCGGTCTTGTCGAATATCACAGTTTTCACCTGCAACCGTAAGACCAGGCATTTTTTTTTCTGATAGTCTTGAAAGGTTATGTCAGTGTAATCGGGCGAGTAGGTGAGCTCACGAGGTTAAAGCCGGGAGTGTTGCTAACACTGGTCCTAGCAAGAGCCGTGCTTCGCAGAATCTACCACCGGATCGGAAACGCGACCCACTGAGAAGATCCCACGAGAAACTCAATTGCAGAGAAATTAAGCTGTGTCTGTGTTTTAATTTGCTCGTCGAGCCCGTCAAGCGACGGGTTCTTGATTTTTATTACACGACGTTATTCCTTCACCGTGGAAGTCAATCGTGAACATTTGTTGAGTACGTATTTCATTAGAAAAATTGGTACCTGCCTGCGGGATTCGAACACCGGTGCATCGCTAGATACGAATGCACCGGACGTCTTATCCTTTAGGCCACACCGACTTCAATTTGTTAGATCTTGGTACAATTTGAATGGGGCCACACGAAAAATACCGGGTATGAAATAAAACAAAGTAGGTACCGTAAATTGGTTCACTTAAAAAAAAATTGAAGGTACATACAAAAAAATAATCTAATTGAGAGCCTCCAGACTTTTTAGCAGGAACGCGAGAAGTGAAGTTGTCTGATTTGTTTTATTTTGTCTATTTAGTGTTTGTTCAGGTTTAAATGTGTAATAACGGTGGCTTATTAACTGTTTAATATCTGTGGCAGTGCACAAATAAGAGAAAATGAAACAAAGCCGCTGAACGTAGCTTCTCGGGATCCTCCAAAAAGTCAACTGAAAAAGTCTCAGTAAATGACCGCCATTTTACTGAGATTATTCATTTAATTTCATCCCAGTTGATTAATATCTCAAATTAATCATCTTCCTTTCATTTCACTCCATATTATCATTTTTCATAAAAATAAGAATATAAATTAAAATAAGACATAACTTAAAGGTCTTAGTTACCAAGTCATAAAATCCCTTAAAAAAAATGTACAACCTCTTTTTTTTTTAAATCGGTGCCTGACCTTGTGCGCGTTCTCGAGCGGCTCCGCGCCCTTGATGAGCAACCCCAGGTTGGCGCCCACGCCCGTGGCCACCATGACGGCGGTGGGCGTGGCCAGCCCCAGCGCGCACGGGCACGCGATGGCGAGCACCGACAGCGCGAAGTGGAACGCCGACTGCACGATCAGCTCCCAGTCCGAGTAGCCAGCGTTCAGGTAGACCTCCTGACGCAGAGAGTTCAGACATGATCCAGCCAGTTTGGAACCCAGTATGACAGACTTGCCATAGAGTACAAATCAAATAGACCAACACAGGTCATTCAGTGTTTTTTTTATTGCTAAGGTGGTCACGCCCCCCCGGTCCCGTATGTGCCGGAGCCTTAGAGATCAGCCTCGTTTTAGCACGCAAGGCGTTACCGTTGAAATAGGTGGTGGTACCTACCCGCGCGAAGTCACAGCATGCCCAATATTGCCAATTCTTCTCGGTAAGGTCTACCTGAAAAGCTATGTCCAGTCAATACTCACAGGAGTGATGGCCTTTATCCTGTTTATGTCCAGAGCCCCGCTTATGATCCAGCAGACCAGCGTCAGGACGGACAGGAACACCACCAACGGAACGAAATACCTTCGGACGGAGATTGGGGAATGAGTTCTTATTGATTAGCAAGATATGGTCCAGTTTTAGACCCCTTAGATTGATTGAGATCAAACTTTGATAATAACAGTGTAAGCTTTACCGTAGGTGGCGGCTTGATTTTGCCCCTGGCATTGGAAACGTTCACGGTAACCACTCGCCATCAGGTGGCAATAAAAATAAAAAAGATTGGCACCGAAAAAACGAGAAGCCGCAATGTATGCTGCTGTACAAATTTGAGATGTGGGATCGAAGACTCGATTGTGTTTTGTAAGCGTCGCTTTGACCAGCAAGCCAGGGTACATTTCAATACCGTGCATCAAGCACGAATGCTGCACGAATTACCAGCTGAATCCAATTCACTTTAACGGCTCGCGAAAACTAGCACTAAGTAGATAAACATGGAACTCGTAAAAAAAATTGACATTTCAAAGATCTATATATGTTAAAAATCAAATTGGTAGAAGAAGTAGAAGCGATTTCTGACACGATATACTTTGAAAACACATTTTTCATATATTTCCAGCAGCGCGTAATGTAGTAACACGCAAATAAAATAAAATGACGAGGGAGGTCAACAACCTTCAATTTTTTCGGTGCACCCACTTTTTTTTTCAGTAGTATTAGAATTGTTAGTATAGCTCTAGAGGGAGATGGGGTTGTAGGAAATGTGAAAAGGATCCTCCACCGTTAGGGCATCACCACTCAGTACGCCGACAGTCTCTATATCGTTGGGAAATTCTATTAACGAAGTTTTATTGCGAATATCATTAGCGCGATTTAGGTTTTCGCCGATTTCCTGATATTACTATGACTGCTGCAACTAGTGTGATAATAAAATGAAGATACTTCATCAAGGCGGAGATGCCTCCCCCGCCGAAGTTTCACGAGTCTAACAAGCTGTACCCACCCCGCCATGGTGTCGGCGAGTCGCTGCACGGGCGCCTTACTGCTCTGCGCGCTCTCCACCAGCCGCACGATCTGGGCCAGGGTCGAACTTTCCCCGGTGTGGGTCGCCAGCATCAGCACGGCGCCGTTGGAGTTCATGCTGCCCCCGATCACCAGGGAATCTGCAGTTTGAGCATAAGCAACTAAAGTTTTAACATTATTGCAAATACAGTTTTACCTTGTAATTCGGTAGAATTTTATTTATCCCGAACCCCAACGCGTAACAGTACTATTGAGGGTCCTAAGAGCAACGCATCTAGTGTTAATGCAGTCTAGCGTGTACCGGTTTGATGCAGGGGACCAGTGGGGCGCACATGGGGGGTCGCGTCGCCCGAGGGGGGATCACCAGAAATGTGTGGGTGGTCATCAGTTTTTTTTTATTTTTAGCTTGATACACCACTGCTGATAAACCTAGGGGTCGCTGTTTGATCTCTACTGAAATAGGGGTTATAGTTGAATAATGTTTGCACTTGACAACCCTTGGTCAAAAGCACCGAAGCTTCGACCTCATATGCCTCAAGGTAACAGACCGACCTTTCGTCTTCGGCACCGGCATAGATTCCCCGGTTATCAGGGACTCGTCGCACGTCGTCTGACCGGATATGACTTTGCCGTCGACCGGTATCTTGGCGCCCGGTACTACCTGCAGAAAAACACAGTAAGATTCTGGAGCGACAGCAAAAAGTTTTTATTTTTTTAACCTTAAGCCTCAATTGACACCATCCAGCCCGTTTGGGTCACTCCTTATGCAGGCTGTGGCAATTAGCCTCTCCAACTAACTGGGCCAATGTATTTACCTTGGTTATTAATAGTTTTAACTGGTATTATACCAAGAACGGTGTCTGTACTGATAGAACCCAGTAAATCCCAACATTCCCAGCACGCTGGTGTAACACGACTGTTAGCACTGTACCATTTTTTTTATTGCTCATTGTAGGCAGACGAGCATATGACCCACCTGATGGTGAGTGGTTACCGACGCCCATGGACTTCAGCAATGCCAGGGGCAGAGCCAACACGCTGTCTACAGTTCAATACTCTCCACAAGTCTCGTTTGAAGAAGGTCATGTTATAGCGCTCGGGAAACATCGTGCTATAAGTAGCGTCGGCCAAGTTCTTCTGCACAGATGAGAGCGAACTAATTCCGCTTGTATGCGAGAACTAGCTCCGTTGGAATATAGACTCTACTGTGTTACGTTAAGATTTTAATTCGGTAACATCCTAAATTTTCTTAAAAGAGAAAACTGGCCTTAATAAGATGATATAATTAACGCAGTCGAAGTCTATTAGACATGCCTTATGAGGGATAACTCAAAGAAGTACTGGTCAGATCTTGGTAGACCTTCAGTCATATCTTGGTAGGTTTTAACTGGGACCAAACGAGAAGCACAATTCTTCAAATAAATTTATACCATCAAAAACCTGAAAAATGAATCACCTGAAAAAGCTGAAGTAGCACATAAAACCTCGTCTCTATGTGAAGTCGGTTAAGACAGAGAATAGTCTTGCGTTGTTGTTTGGTTAAGAGTTTTTTAGGTTCAATGGTGATGAAGAAACAAAGGCGGTCCACCCTCACAACGGCGCTACTGTCCACTGACCTTCAGGATGTCTCCGCGTTCCACCAGGTCAACCGGTATGCACTTCTCGTTTATAATGTTACCGCTGTCGTCCAGGGTCACCAGCACGGCTTCCGTTGCCTTCAGTGACAACAACTTCGACAGGGCTTCCGATGTTTTACCCTGGAATACGGACAGCACATTAGGATCGGGGTACCAGCTGTATCCTCAGCACGAGATAAAGGAGGCCTGCAGCTGCACCCAAACACTTTATGAAGCTGGAGTCTTGGTAGAATTATTATTGAATGATCTATTTAAATTGGACCAGTTCGGGAAGCAGGAGGCCTCCAGGTTTTACCCGGATATGTCACACTACTTCTGGGTGCAGAAAGAGTTTTCAGTGAACATTTTTTTTACATTTTCATTCACATTTCAGTGCATTCGTAACCTTCAAACGTGGCTCTTGTGTTCCACCAGACTGTCACTAGGAGCCTATGGACATCTGATTAAAATTCTCACAAACAAACCAGACCCTGAAATATTCATATTTGGTCTGAGTGACTTGACATTGCCGGCAGCCCAGCACCCACCTTGGCTATGTGCTCCAGCCACCTGCCCAGAGACACGAAGACCAGCAGCATGGGTGGCGTGTCGAAGAACGTGACCGGACTGGCCTCTTGGAGGGTCGCCATGGAAGCTACAACCACACCTAGAGAATATACGTAGCTGCGGAGAAATTACCATGAGATTTTAATATCAAGATTTCTCTGCTGACAACCCTGGAACGAGATTACTTCGTTACGAGCAGACGAGCTCAGGGTTCATTTAACGCTGAGTGGTTGCAGGACCAATGCATGAGGTGAGTTAAGGCAAAACAGTGGCACCAAGAGGTGTTCTGAGGCATTGTTGGAGACGATCCAGTAATCTCATTTATATCATCGCCCCACCCCGCGCAGAGGTAGACTTCACAGTGCGCTCCCAGGGATCTTTTCTGTCACATACCATCCGGCTTTAAAATGAGCTCCCCTTCACGGTGTTTCCCGAGCGCTATAACATATCCTTCCTCAAACGAAGCTTGTGGAAAGTACTTAACGGTAGGCAGCGGCTTGGCTTTGCCCCTGGCATTGCTGAAGTCCATGGGCGACCGTAACCACTCACCTGCTCCTCGGTTTACAATGCTAAAAAGTTGTATCTGTTATCGCGGAGGGCTCGGTTGATCAGGCGACCTTCAATTCTTCTGCTGATTCTACCCAAGAATTTCGGACGCTCAAGCAAGAGTGCTGGAGAGTTGTTTAGTGGGTTACTTCTACAGCCCTACACACCCTGAGCTCCTATAGGCGCGGGGATCTCACAGGAGATTCGGTTCCCTCTCCAAAAAACAGAAGGATATAGCATATAACTTGAGAGTGTATCATAGAAAGCTCCTAACATACCTAATGGTGGTTGTCATTGCTATCAGCACGTCCATGTTGGTCGTGCCGTGCTTTAGAGCTTTATAAGCTTGCTTGTAGAAATGCCAGCCGCCTATGAACTGAAAACAAATAGAAACGTGACTATTTAAGCACGTGGTCAGCGTCACCCCTCGGGGGGCCACTAGTTGATTAGGGCGGCCCACCCTTGGTGGCGACGCACAATTGCGCCGAGGCAGAACCAGTCAGGACCAGAGTACGCATTAGTCCGTTCAGCTCTAGATTTGTTAATTCGTTCTTTGACAGACGAGTTTTCGGGAGCTATAATAGTATTGAACGATGACGTCATCGTATAAAATTACACCAGTTATTTCGAGCGCGAACTTAAAACGGTTTTAGCTTCGTTATTTGTGAACAGATTTTAATTATGTTTTCGTTGATGAGCTGTATTCATGGATGGAGCTTACGGTCCACCTGACGGTGAGTGGTTACCGTCGCCCATTGACCTCAGCAATACCAGAGCTGCGGCCAAACCACTGCCTACCACTAAGCGGTTATCGAAGCACATAGACACCGTGAGTGCCGATATCCATGTCGACGTCTCAATTGTACTTTGTTACTTAAGCAATGACAATTTGGTTATCACGATGTCATTGTTGCCAGAATCAAGTGTATTAAATTTAAAATCTTCAATTATTTAAATTTAACAGTAGAAGTTGATTGGAAGGACCCGAGAAGCCACCACCGACGGCTCTGCTTCATGTCCCCACACTCGTACCCAATGAAACCACTACCATAACCCTGCTCCTCAGGTCCCCCCCAAAAAATCAACGACCTTTTGTTTTAAGAAGTCGTAAAATCTGATACAAAGAGTATATGGCGGGACCGTTCTACCTGCACCGGCGTCGCCAACAGGAACATGACCAGGTTCTCCAAACTGAGTCCGGGCAGCACGCAGCACATATCCTTGGCGCTGTGGCCGTGCGACATCATGGACATGAAGTACGCCATGGCGGCCATGCACGGAGCCCCGAACACCAGCGAGACCAGAAACGCGTTCCGCCACTTCCTTATCTCCTCTCTGGTGGGGGAACACAAGAGGATGCGTTTTTTTTTATTATTATTGCTTAAATGGGTTATCGAACGTAAATGCCGACACCTAACTGAGATAAGGGTTGTAAGGTCGCAGTATAGTTACAACGGCTGCCTCTCCCTTCAAACCGAAACGCTTTACTACTTCATGGTAGAAATAGGCAGGGTGGTGGTACTTACCCGTGCGGATTCACAATACGTCCTGCCACGAATCAAAATGGGGAACGGGTTTTTTTTTTAATGCCCTTGTAGGCAGACGAGCATACGGCCCATCTGAGCGGTTACCGTCGCCCATGGACTTCAGCAATGCTAGAGGTAGAGCCAAGCCGCTGCTTACTTTTAAGTACTCTCCACAAGCTTCGTCATAGCGCTCAAGAAACTCCGTGGAGGGGAGCTCATTCCAAAGTCCGATGGTACGTGGCGACGCACTGTGGATGAACGCAGTGACTTGCTGGAATTAGTTAGCGCCCTCTGCCGGACGTTGGCAGTACTATGATAGTGGGGGCTGAAGTAGCGACAACTGTACCCCAAGTGTCGTTGTGGTGTACAAACGACCACACTTGTACAATCATTAAATACCTTAACTTTCACAACATATAAGTTTAGGGGCATCCGCTACGAACTGTCGCTAGTTTCCATACAAAAAAAAATCTTAAAGTATCGCAGTTTCAGGGTTCTGTGCAGAAGAACAGAACTGGCTTGAGTAGCGGAAACAGACATCGTTTGTACTATTTCTTTTATAAAATAACCGCAGTACCAGTCACGGTTTTTTTTAAAGACCTCCAAGATCCCCCCCCCCCCCCCCCGTAGTACCTGTGTTCCAAATAGCTGGTCTCCCCCCGGTTGTGCGGGCTGGCGACCGTCGCCTCGAACCCGAGCCCGGCGACCGCGTCGCATATCGTGCGGGGCCCGATCTGTTCTGCGTTGTATTTGACGCGGCCCCTGGACAGCAATAGGTTAACGTGACATTTTTGCATAGGATTAGTAAGAATGGAACGTATGAAAAGATTGCGAAACGGATTATGAAAAATTGTGGGTTAGGCTACTTTTCCGCTGACGGTCTCATATGTAAGTTCTCTCTACCACTGCCATATGCGCGAGAGAGAAAGGGAAGCCAGATAGACTGGCGCCGTAACGCATTACGTAACGAAGCCGTTTACCCTCCCAAATTAAGTTATCACTTTAAAATAATACGTGAAGCAAAAACTTTGTATCCCTTTTTACGAAAATTGCGCGAACGGAGTATACTCCTCCGTTCCGAATTTCCCACACTTATAGAGAATATAGAGAGGGAGTGCAGAATGTTAATATTTACTTAAATTATGCATAAAAACACATTAAATTAATAAACAAAAACATGACACACTCTACCGTGTATTTGAAACACCACATAATACTCTTTTGTTTATTGTTAAAGTCTCTGGTCAAATCGAGAATAGATTAATATTGTTTGTCTTTATTAATTTTTGTCTATAGTGTAGGTTTGGCGAAATCTGTGATCATAGTATTCTTACACAATAGAACCATAATAATGTTCAAACTTATAATTTTAGTCGAATTTTGACTACCGAGGGACCACTAGACAATTTAGAAAAAAAAAAATATGGATTGAACATTAAGTCCAAGCGTAAATGCACTGAATAACTAACTTGCATGTCGTCAGGGCCACGGAGCAGGATTCGACTCCGGTCAGCTTAAGTACCGTTTTCTCTATTTTATTTACACATGAAGCGCACGTCATTCCCTTTATCTGAAAAAAAAAGCTCATCTAAAGACTTTCGGAACTTTCATAGCATGGCCTTACTGTTTGACGAGCATTGAAAGCCCAAAAATATTTTTTAACATAATCACACTTGTTGATATTCAACCCTTCATCCTTCACTGTTGTGTAGGTCACCGGTGCCCTACGCGGCGCACTGAAGTAATTATGTCGATTTCTGTTACTAGGTGCGTCTGGATGTTAGTCACTTTGCCTTCTTTTATTTGTTAATGTATGCTTTAGTTTTTTAGGTTACTTAGAAATAAATTAATTCTCACTATTTCCGGATTTGTCGTTCCCGAAGTCTACTAGATATTCCTTAGAAGATCGGAGAGAGAAATCGATATGATTACTTCAGTGCGCCACGCAGGGCACTGATGACCCACATAGCCAGGGCCGGATTTAAACTTAAAGCCGTTCCTGGGCACCGGAAAAAAATCCGCCCTAATACTACCTACCTAAACTTATAGTTTAAATATTTTATTTTTTAAAATTAAAATAACTAATTTATTGCGGAAACTTTATCTTAAGTCATATATTCCAAAAACATAAATAAACTTTGTTTTTTTTTCTTTTCTAACAATTATAAATTTTGATTAAGGGTGACTCATAAAAATTATATTACATAAAAAAAAATTAAATTTCTTAAATTACAGAAAATAGAAAAATCGATTATTATTTTAAATCTCCAAGGAAATAAATTGATTAAATCATTTTGATTATTAATTTTTACCAAAAGTGCCAAAATTATAATTCACAAATAATGGATGAATTGAATTTTTTGAATTATCAATTAAAAAGAAAATTATTAATTATTAGAATCAATTAATTATATTGAGCAATCCTGATAAGACTAAAAAAAAATTTTTACTTTAAAAATTATGCCGCCCTAAAAAATTTTCCGCCCTGGGCACTTGCCCCGACTGCCCCTAGTGTAAATCCACCACTGTACATAGCAGTCAAAAATATATCCAAACTCTTGACGATTCAAAGACACCACATTAAAAATATCATCATCATCACTTACCAGCAAATGTATTTCCTTTAAGCCGCTGCCGTCGTTCTCGCTGATGACCTCCGACGGAAAGCCCAGCTCCGTTATGGAATTGGCCACGTCTAAGGCCGAGATCTTACGGGGCTCGTAGCAGACCTCGGCCTTCGCAGCCAACAGAGCGATCAGCACTGAACGCACCCCTGGGAAACCAGCACCAGCGCTAAAGCATGTCCTTCTTCAAACGAGGCTTTTGGAGAGTACTTAACGGTACGCAGCGGCTTGGTCCTGCCCCTGGCATTGCTGACGTCCAAGGGCGACGGTAACCACTCACCACTCGTATGCTCTTCTGCCTACAAGGGCAATAAAAAAATAGACAAAAAAGTTCAACATTGAGACTTCATATCGCATTGTGATACGCATAGATACAGGGCTTATTGACCACTTTGCACCAGTCATTTAAGGCATGAATGTTTTTTAAGACCTCAAGTTTTGCAGCGATATAAGCGACTCAATGGTATCCATGAGTTCCAACCACACAGGGCACTATGACAACATTTGAATTACCAATTATGCATAAGTCTGGTCACCGATTCCACTCCACTTACATCGTAGACTCTTCGAGATGGTGCTTTGGTTCTGAGCTGACTAGTACATTTTGCTTGTGACCCCTCTTGTTAACGAATCAACGTCGCATCATACACTGATGACTGTAATTGGCCAACGATGACGTCATATCGCACGAACCAATAACAAATCAGGAAACGCACTAGTGGCACTAATTATCAAAATTTTACAAAATTAACACACGAAGAAAAAAGATGGACGCGCATGTCAATACTATATTTGTAAAATAATTAAAAATAATATAATTAGTATTTGAAAAAGTAGACGAATTTATTCCTTTTCCTGGCCACCTCAAGATACCTCTAAGAAATAGACGCAACACTTCTTCTTCCCAGCTTCCAGCGATAAGACTGCCGGTGGCGAGAGCTCTCTCGTGGTAGCATGAGGTCACTTACCATATAATTTCGTGCAATATTTTTCTATCGCGGAGACACAACTGGCGCTGGTCATCCCGCGAACTTCCAGCGTACATCGGGACAGTTCCGCCTCGGCGACCGGCGGACCTGAACCCTGGAGTACGAGTTGCTGACTTCAAAAAATACTGTACGCTCTGGCTGTTAGAGGCCATTGTAATTCGTTCTAATCATTAGTGGACGCTCAACTCATGATATTTAGTAGACGTTTGACCGATAATGTTTTTTTATTGCTTAAATGGGTAGACAAGCTCACGGCCCATCTGGTGTTAAATGGTTAACGGAGCCCATAGACATCTACAACGTAAATGCCGCCACCCACCCACATGAGTTGTAAGGTCTCACTTTTAACAGTAGGTACAACGATTGCCTCGCCCTCTAAACCGCATTACAGCTTCAGGACAGAAATAGGCAGGATGGTGGTACCTACCCATGCGCACTCACAAGACGTCCTACCACCAGTAACGAGTATAACATAGACGAGTGATTGAAATACGGCACACATAATGCTAACTTAGGTGACCTCACTTGAATAGTGTAAGAAATGTTACAGTTTACATACAGGAGCGTACTGTTTCGTGGCAGAAAATAGGCAGGGCGGTGGTACCTAGCTGTGTGGGCTCAAAAGAAGTTCGCAAGTAATTACGGAAATTATAGTATTCTTGAATTTTTTTTTGGTACCCGATGATATTCTTTCGTCGTAGAAGTCATTCGTGAACATGAGTCAAGTTTCTGGCTGCGGGATTCGAACCTCGACGCTGTCGCATAGCTCGATACGAGGACACCATCTCATCCTTTAGGCCACAACGACTTCGATAGATTTTACAGTACAGCGACTGTGTGCTTGGTTTCGGATCGATCTAACAATCGCACAGTTTGACATTGGGGTCTTAAAATATTAAATCGCGCAGAAAACGAATAAAACACCGAGATAACAACACTCCGGACTCTTCAAAATTTCAAGAAGACCTATTAAAACAATAAGCAAATTAACAGAAAGACTTACATTCGTTTGAAGTTTGTTCTTGAACGGAGACAATTGCTTAGCGCAATCACCAGATCCCTCTGTGTTGTTACATATTTGAGACTTATTTTCTGAAAGATAAATTACAAATTGGAATAGCAATTGGTCATCAAACGAACATGAAAGGGAGCACACGATATGTGTATAGAGCCGCGTATTTCTCGATCATATTTCTTATTATGCTAGATACAGAGCGCGCTATAATGTACAGTGACGTCAATATTCAAATATTCACGAATCACATCACAACATCAGCGCATAGCAGTCCACTGTTGGATACAGGCCTCTCCTACTGCACAACACTGAGCACGATTCTGGGTTTCTCTCTTCCAGCTCTTGATCCATCATCAGCATTCATCCGATATTCAACAATGCGACACTGAAATTTATAGCAACTGCGAGAAAATGTTTGAGCATTTCTTAATGTTTTTTTTATTGCTTAGACCCATCTAAGTCAGTAAGTCAGTAAGTAATCAGTGGGTTGTGACACACAACCCACCTGGTGTTAAGTGGTTACTAGAGCCCATAGATGTTTACGACGTAAATGCGCCACCCACCTTGAGATATCAGTTCTAAAGTCTCAGTATTGTTACAACGGCTGCCCTGCCCTTCAAACCGAAACGCATTACTGCTTCACGGCAGAATTAGGCAGGGTGGTGGTACCTACCCGCGCGGACTCACAGGAGGTCCTAGCACCAGGAATACAACAACAACATAACTTTAACGGTTTTAACTGCTAGAAGATGTGGCTTCTGCTTTTACTACTTCTAGTCAGTGTAACGTCACGTTGCTCTATCATTTGCAATTCCAAGATTCTCCGAAGTCACGAGACGTGTAAGTCTTCATTACCGGCTGCGATATTCTGGACTACCCACCCGTATAAACCTGTCCGTCGACGGATATGATGTTGACCTCGAAGCCCAGTTCATATATCAGATCCGCTATCTCCCTGGGCGTGACGGTGCTGGGCAGGAAGGCGACTCGGGCCGTTCCATCGGCGAGCGACACGTGTCCCTTTGTGACTCCCGACTTTGCTTTCAACGCTCCTGTGCAAGGAAGATGGGTAGAACTGTCAATAAACTTCATACTTAATTGTGTTGGACTGTATTTGTTCTGCTTTTGCTAACAAGGGATTTATACAATAGGAATGTAGTGTTGTATTTCTTAGATGGATAGATGAGTTCGAGGTCCAACTGGTGTTAAGTGGTTACCGGAGCCCATAGACATGAACAGCATAAATTCCACCACCAACCTTGAGATATGAGTTCTAAGGTCTCAGTATAGTTACAACGGCTGTCCCGCCCATCAAACCGAAACGCAATTTCTGCTTCACGGCAGAATTAGGCGGGGTGATGGTACCTACCCGTGCGGACTCACAGCACGCCCTACCACCAGTGAATAATATGTGGTTTTAAAACTATGTTTAACATGATGGTGGATAAGCCGAACAGAGGCTTAAATTAACAGTGTGACGACTTAGGAGGGAAATTCCTGGGGCAGACGAATTTGGGGAGCCGACCCACTTAAAGGATAAATGTTCTATACGATCCTCATTGGTAGACCGTAAATATTTCAACTATTATCTCCGGAGGGATCTTGTGGATTAGGTCTGTGTTGTCTAGGGAGGACTTCTTAGGACGACATCTTTCGATCCAAGCATGAAAAGACAACGTTACGTGCTAATTCACTGTACTAAGCTATGGTTATTCGTTGGCAGGACTGGGATTCGTTATAATATATATTATATACATATATCTAATTTTTTTCTGTAACGGTGAACTATGAGCTCACGATCCATCTGATGTTATGTGGTTTCCGGACCTCATAAACTTGACGTGAATGCTGATACCAACATTGAGACATGAGGTCCAAGAGCCAATTGAATAAGACTCCACTCAGTAAGTGCTTTCGGAGCTGAAATCGAATTACGACCTACCCGCACCGGCTTACAATACGCTCTCTCACCCATTCTATCAAGACCCACCTTCTATGGTGTTGACGTAGGATTGGCAGGTCATGCCGATCACTGAGAGGAAGACTTCGCTAACGGGCGGCATCTGGCTGCCGGTCATGTCGATCATAATCGCGGTCGGCACATCCTTCGGCAGGAGATTTCTGTTGGAGTGAACGATGCTGTTCGTTTTTAATACGCTTTTATTAGCTTCAGACGTATGTATGTTAGTATGTAACGGAATCTTTGAACATGATTTTGACCCCCTTCAAAACGTCGGATTAACTTGATTTTTTTTTATTAAGGACCGATGACATTTACATATTTAAAAAAAAAAATGAAATTCAACTAAAAAATGAAAAATAAATAATAGTTTAAAAAACTAGAAAAATAAGCTTTTATAGAAAATTCAACTAAAAATAGAAGATAAATTTTAATAAGTTTGAATTAAAAATAGTGTATACGCGAGATGAACAAAACTACGAAATATTTGAAATTTGGTCGTTGCAAATGAAGGACACAGACTGCGGGAAGAAACGATAAGAAGTGGCAGTTCTGCGTTAAAGGAAGGATGCACAATACCTTTATGTAGTCCTTGCTGCAGACTCGTACCACTCCGCGATGAGAAACACCAACGATTTCACTTATTTACGTATTTAACATANGGACTGACAGACGCCATTACTTTATTCTAGGAATAGCTCCGTTATTCCGTGCGAAACGGCGGTATAGTAACAATTCCCGAATAGGCCCACTATTCTTAGAATTGTAGTTGGTAAAACGTAAAATTGATTTACTCTCGATTAACTGACGAGTTATTCTAAGAATAAGATTTACTCTTGTTTGGTCGAATCGACCCTAAATCGCGCAGAAAACGAATAAAACACCGAGATAACAACACTCCGGACTCTTCAAAATTTCAGGAAGACCTATTAAAACAATAAGCAAATTAACAGAAAGACTTACATTCGTTTGAAGTTTGTTCTTGAACGGAGACAATTGCTTAGCGCAATCACCAGATCCCTCTGTGTTGTTACATATTTGAGACTTATTTTCTGAAAGATAAATTACAAATTGGAATAGCAATTGGTCATCAAACGAACATGAAAGGGAGCACACGATATGTGAATAGAGCCGCGTATTTCTCGATCATATTTTTTATTATGCTAGATACAGAGCGCGCTATTATGTACAGTGACGTCAATATTCAAATCACAACACATCATCAGCTTATATCAGTCCACTGTTGGACATAGGCCTTTACAGAGAGGCCTTTCTTACTGCACACCACTCAACACGATTTTGGGTTTCTCTCTTCCAGCTCTTGTTCCATCATCAACATCCATCCAATATTCAAAAATGCGACACTGAAATTTATAGCAACTGCGAGAACAGGACTGAGCATTTCTTAATCAACAACATAATTTTAACAGTTTTAACTGCTAGAAGATGTGGCCTCTACTTTTACTACTTCTAGAGGCAGTGTAACCTCATGTTGCTCTATCATTTGCAATTCCAAACTTCTACGAAGTCAAGAAATGTGTAAGTCTTCATTACCGGCTGCGATATTCTGGACTACCCACCCGTATAAACCTGTCCGTCGACGGATATGATGTTGACGTCGAAGCCCAATTCGTATATCAGATCCGCTATCTCCCTGGGCGTGACGGTGCTAGGCAGGTAGCCCACGCGGGCTGTTCCATCGGCGAGCGACACGTGTCCTTTTGTGACTCCCGACTTTGCTTTTAACGCTCCTGTGCAAGGAAGATGGATAGGACTGTCAATAAACTTGATACTTAATTGTGGTGGGCTGTATTTGTTCTGGTTTTGGTAACAAGAGATTTTTACAATAAGAATGTAGTATTTCTTAGATAGATCGATAAGTTCGAGGTCCAACTGGTGTTAAGTGGTTACTTAACACCAGTCGGCTGCCCCGCCCTTCAAACCGAAACGCTTCACGGCAGAATTAGGCAGGGTGATGGTACCTACTCGTGCGGACTCACAACACGCCCTACCACCAGTGAATAACATGTGGTTTTAAAACTATGTATAACATGATGGTGGATAAATATAAGTCGAACATTGATAGAGGCTTAAATTAACAGTGTGACGACTTAGGACGGAAATTCCTAGGGCAGACGAATTTGGGGAGCCGGCCACGCTTAAAGGAGAATAAATATTCTATGCGGTCCTCATTGGTAGACCGAAATTATTTCAACTATTATCTCAGGAGAGATCTTGTAGATTAGGTCTGTGTTGTTTAGGGAGGACTTCTTAGGGCGACGGCTTTCGATCCAAGCATGAAAAGACAACGTTACGTGCTCATTCACTGTACTAAGCTATGCCTATTCGTTGGCCGGAATGGGCTTTGTTATAATAAACTACTCAAAACAAAATAGGGCCCACCATGTTTTTTAAGTGAATTTTACAGATTCTTCTTTTTTTTCAGTTTTTATGATTAGGAATGAATAAATTAAGGTTTTTGAAAGTGTGTAAACGTTAACAAGAGTAAGTTTTGCCAATTTTATGGAATTTAGTCAAAATTTACAGTTTTTAGGAAAGTTGACAGAAATTATTGATTTATGTAAAGTTTGATTTTGATTTTTATTATTGACTAAATCAATGAGTTTGATGGTGCTTAATAGCGAGTAGGTCCTCCTCTGTTCCGTATGCACTCTCTGACCCTATCTGGGACACTTTCAATCAAGTGGGTGATGTTTTCCTCGGGTATTCGCCCCCAACACAATTTTATGGCGTTTATGAGCTCTTGTTGATTAGTCACATTACTGAAGATCGATTTGAGGCTTCTTTTCAGTTGGTTCCATAAATGTTCAATGGGGATAAGATCGGGACTCATGGCCGGCCACGGTAAAACCGTAATATTGGCCTCAGAGAAAGCTCTCTGGGTTGTTCGCGCTGTATGTGGGCGAGCATTGTCTTGCATAAAGACGAAGTTTTCACCCACTCTTTGTGAAAATGGGATGACATGGGGCCGAATTATTCGATCGACATACCGGGAGGCAGTTATGGGGCCTTCTTCCAGAATTACCACCTCAGTTTTACCGAGCAAGCTTATTCCAGCCCACACCATAACATTTGGACCTCCTAAACGATCCCTTTCACGTATGCAAGGTTCTGAAAAACGTTCTCCTTATCTTCTCCACACGCGCACTCGACGTTCGTCGCTGAAAAACTTCACTTTACTTTCGTCCGTAAAGAGTACATTTCTCCAGTTGTCCGTTGTCCACTCCGCGTGCTCGCGAGCAAACCTCAAACGTGCTGCACGATGCGCTCTTGTCAATTTTAGACGAATAACATGAGATCTGGAGCGTTGTCCGTCTTCATGGAGCTGATTTCGAATGGTTTGATCACCAATTCGTGTGCCAGTCGATTGCCGCAGTCGATTTTGTAAGACGCGGGAGAAAATCGTACGCTCTCGACGTGCAGTCAATCTGATATACCGGTCTTCCTGGACGGTTGCAGCTCGCGCTCTTCCTGATCCAGATCTCCTCGTAACACTACCTGGCTCTAGAAAGCGTTCCCACGCGTTTCGAATAGCCCGTCGCGACACACCAAGACGTCTTGCCACTGATTTCTGAGATTCTCCCTCCTGAAGCATTAACACTGCTCTTGTTGCTGTTTCCACATCCATATGGCGCCGAGAACCAGGCATAATGATCGCGAGTAACACCGAAATCAGGTCAAAATGAAAAAAAGTAGAGGTGCGACTGTAACATTCAGAACGTGACTGAGGTACAAATGACTAAGAATTTGAGTAATAAACGTTTTTTGGAGTACTTCATTTTTTTGTCTACACACCATTGAATTCCTGACTTGAAACATTGATAACGTTAGATAAACATGTCAACAATACTTCGAAATGTTTAACTTCACTATTTACTACGAAACAATTTTTTTTCGACGAAATTCGAGATTAACTTAGAGTGGGCCCTATTTTGTTTTGAGTAGTTTATATTGATGTATCATTTTTTTTCTGTAACTGGGTGAACTATGAGATTAGAACCCATCTGATGTTATGTGGTTACCGTATTTTCGGGGCAGAAATCGAATTATACCACCTACCCGCGCTGGCTTACAATACACGCTCTCCCCACCATTCTATCAAGACTCACCTTCTATGGTGTTGACGCAGGATTGGCAGGTCATGCCGATCACTGAGAGGAAGACTTCGCTGACGGGCGGCGTCTGGCTGCCGGTCATGTCGATCATAATAGCGGTCGGCACATCCTTCGGCAGGAGATTTCTGTTGGAGCAACGATGCTGTTCGTTTTTAATACGCTTTTATTAGCTTCAGACGTATGTAAATATGTATGTAAATATGTTTGTAATGGAATCTTTGAACATGATTCTGACCCCCTTCAAAACGTCGGATTAACTCGAAATTTGGTTATTAAGGACCGATGATATTTACATATTTAAAAAAAAAAAAAAAAAATTCAACTAAAAAATGAAAAATAAATAATAGTTTCAAAAATTAAAAAAATAAGCTTTTATAGAAAATCCAACTAAAAATATAAGATAAATTTTAATACGTTTGAATTAAAAATAGTGTAAGAAAAAATAATTTTATTGTAAAAAAGCGTAGGCTGCATGGTTGGTATCAGTAGTTGTAAATATTTTATGAACAAATATGAGTAGAAGGGTTATATTGATAATATCCTGAAAAGCACCCCACGCATTTTTTTACAATTTTTAAAACTTATTTTCTATTTTTTTTTTTTGGATTTTCTTGAAAGCTTATTTTGTTAGTTTTTTTAAACTATTATTTGTTCCATAAAACACACAAGTTTCCGGTTATTCAATTATCGTGGTCACACGCAATGATTTGATCTTTGATTGCAAAACGTCCGAAATGAAACAACATAAATACGTAACGCGTTAAACGAATCTGAACCTTGAAACATTATAGCTTAGATTGAAATTTCTTTAAACAACCTTTAAAGCACTTGCGTCTTCTTCGTGTGCTTACCTGCTTTCGTCGTCATTGTCGACAGGGACCTCAAACCCCATGTCTTCTATGTGAGACCTGATCGCTTCCAGCGAACACAGTCGGGGGTCATATCTGATGTAGCCGGCGTTCTCTGATAACTCCACCTGAAGACCAAATCGTGGATATAAATTCAAACCGTCAAACCCGCAAAATTATAATTTGTGTAAACACTGGTTGTAGGACGTCTTTTGTGTCTACGCGGGTAGGTACCACCGCCCTGCCTATTTGTGCCGTAAAGCAGTAACGCGTTTCGTTTTGAAGAGTGTGGCAGACATTTTACTGTATAAATTAAAGCCTTAGAACTTATGTCACGAGGTAGGTGGCGGCAGTTACGTTGTAGATGTCTACCGGCTCCGGTAATAACCACTTAATGCCAGGTGGGGCGTGAGCTCGTCCACCTACCCAAGCAATAAAAAAAACCTGTCAGCACGTTTTTCTACATACGACGCCTCGAAAATATCCATTTACCAATTTAATAAATTAATAATTAAATTAATTTTATTTGTAAATTATAAGCGCACTATAAACACAGTGCTTATAACCTTCATCATGAAGATGATGCCAAGCGCGTGGTCAGTCATCGTCGCCATAACCCATTTTTAAACGGCTGACACTAACCCTCTTGATTTGATTTCGTTAAACAAAATATCGGTTCCAACAAAAAAAAAAAAACGAAAAGACTATAGTAGACCATCAGTAGACCGAGTAGACCTGGCTCACCTTAACGCGTTCCACACCTGGCACGTCTCTGACCGATCCTTCGATGCTCCTGACGCACGACTGGCATGTCATACCGTTGATCGGCACCCTGACCGCCACCAGGTCCTGATCATTGTCGCTGTAACAAAAGAAAAGAAACATCAGGATACCAAACTTCTCTTCCGAATCTTTAGATATTCTACTGTCCGTATATCATAATCGGTTTTATTTTATTGCCCTTGTAGGCAGACGAGCACACGGCCCACCTGATGGTGAGTGGTTACCGTTGCCCATGGACTTCACCAATGCCAGGGGCAGAGCCAACCCGCTGCCGTTTGCCGTGTACAGGAAATACAAATTATAAGACACAGAAGAATAAGATAAAAGACAAAACCGAATGACCCTCAAACAGAAGCTCAAAATATAAAACGGAAATACTGGCGAACCAAGTTAGGTCACAACCCTCAGTGGACTACGAGGCTAATGATTCAGATCATTGACACACTGGAAAGGTCATAATTAACACATAGAAATACAATGGCAGCGATGGTTTTGAAATAAATTGGAACTCTGTTAAAATACCTAAATTTTATAAATATTCTTTTTTTTTATTGCATAGATGGGCGGACGAGCTCACAGCCCACCTGGTGTTAAGTGGTTACCGGAGCCCATAGACATCTATAACGTAAATGTCGCCACCTACCTTGAGATATGAGTTCTAAGGTCTCAGTATAGTTACAACGGCTGCCCCGTCCTTCAAACCGAAACGCATTACTGCTTCACGGCAGAAATAGGCAGGGTTGTGGTGCCTACCCGCGCGGACTCACAAGAGGTCCTACCACCAGTGACATAGACCAAGACAGAAACTTGTCAGGCGATTCGAAAGAGAAACAAAAGAAAAGAAATGGAACGAGGGCGGACGTGACTGGCAGCAGTGATTCTTTTCAATTCCTTCCTAAAAGACGTACAGGAAGCAGACGACAAACGAACAAACCGACCGTACAAGTATGTACCTAATATTACATTAAGATTGTTAATAAAGGCTTCTTTATCTTAGCATTACTAACTCTGCTTGAATAGTCGCCGCAGTATTTCAAGACCAGGGTGTCTCCCGTGAGCTCTCATACGGACCAGAACCTCTACATCTAAACACCGTAAACAGCCTTTTTCTCCTACCTACGCCGAAAGTTTTGTTTTCGTCCCACTGTACAAGGAAGAAAGTCTATCTTTTCCTCCCTGGGTACTGACAAGTGCGCATGCGTGTTAGTGTCTACGTCTGCTCTCACGCACCTAAAATTCTCCGCCATTGTTGTGCTCGGGCAATTTGCAATATTGTGTTTAGTGTAAAAGTTAAATAAACAAAAGACAATAAAATTTAATAGTTAAGTATAAAACAAAGATGAGTTCATCAGACAGTTCTTATTCAATTAGTAGTCGTTTATTTAAAAATTAAAAAACAGTTAAATTGTTTTTTTTATGAGTGGGGGGCTACGCCCCCTCAACCCCCAGCCACGGCTGCGCCCCTGGACCCTGGCTCGGTACTCCACGGGTGCTAAGTTTTTTACAATGTCGAACTTTCGGCCTGGTAGGAGAAAAAATAGTATGTGCGCCGCGGGAAAAAAGTAGGACATCTCATCCCGCATGTTTGGTAATGTACTATTTCCAACCGCAATTCATATACAAGATGCAACCTTCAGAAGCGCACGTGTCGTTCGCAATAACGTAAACGAGAAAATATTATCTCATTATATAGATAATACATACCTTCAGTGCTGTTAGAGTTTAACTTATTTAAATAAACATAAAATGATAACAATAGAGGTAAGAAAACTACAAAATTAACTTAAACTAAAACATATCTCGGCATTCGGCTTATCTCTCCTCTTAACAGCTTGTGTTTCGACAAAAGCCTCCTCTAAGGATTTCCATTTGCTTCTGTCCTTTGCTGTACGTAATCATCCTGGCCTAGCTACTTGCTTCAAGTCATCTTCCCATCGCTTTGGCTGCCTTCCTCTAGTTCTTTTGCTTTATCTAGGGTACCATTCCGTTATTATTTTGGTCAATATCTCTTTCTTTTCTCCCATCGTATGTCCGGTCCAACGCCATTTTAATTTTCTGCATATTGATTGAACTTTTCCAAACTTAGTCTCTCCTTAAGATATATAAATAATAACGCATGAATAAGGAAAACAGTAGACTAGAGACAGACCTGGGCCTTTCTTTACTTCTACATCATCAGATATTAGCCGTTACCATCGAATACCCGTTCTGAATGGCGTCAGCATTAAAATCGGATCCTCTGGCCGGCCTGACATTTGTAGCCCATAGACATAAAATCACAAAGGGCACCTACCATAGTGTAGTCGTAATTTGCACTGTATTTTATTTTATTGCTTAGACGAGTGAACTAAGCTCGTTTGGCGTTAAGTGGTTACCGAAACCCATCGACGACGCAAAAACTGCGGCGTAAATTACCAGACCTACTTACTCGTGTCGACTTCAATGCATTTAATGTATTTATTTATTACACTTCATGTAAAATTTACATTGGCGGATTTAATGGCTAAGGCATTCTCTACCAAAGATCAACCAAAGGTAGTGCAGGGATAATAGTGGTAAGATATTTATATTAAATTACAAATACATACACAAATATATGCACACCATATACATATATACATACTTAGTCTGGCCATAAAAACTGTTACAAAGGAAAACAAAAAAAATTCTAAAGCAAATAACATTTATTACTTTTACAGTGTGTTAGTTTAATACATAAATATAAAACAATTTAAAGTATAAAAAGCTTATTCGAAGTGGTCTCCATTGGCTGCAATACAGTTCTTTAAACGTTGAGGCCAGTTATCAATAGAAGCAGGCACTCTTTCCATGGGAAAATTTTTCACTGCCAATCGTACGGATTGTTTTAGGGACTCGAAATTATCATGGCGTTTAGAGCAAGCCGTACTCTCTAAAACTAACCATAAATCATAATCCAGCGGATTAAGATCGGGACTAGACGACGGCCAGTCTTCAGCTCTGATGAAGCCTGAAACGTTCGTTTCCAACCAAGACTGCGTAGACCGAGTTTTATGACCTGGCGCCGCGTCTTGCTGGAAGGACCATTCTTGATTATTGAACATGGTGTTGTTAAGGGGCTTCACTACCTTCTCAAGAATGGTATCTTGATACACTTGTGCCGATGTTTTGATACCTTTTCCACAAAAGTATGGCCCAGTCACTCCTTCATAGCTAATATCCCATCAAACCATCACTGAAGTCGGAAAGTGCCCACGTTGCACTCTGTCGACTAATTGGGAAGCTTCCTTAGAGCTTTGAGCATAAATACGGTCATTTTGTTTGTTAAAATGTTGCTCAATTGTAAAAAAATTCTCATCCGTAAACTAAATTTTTCTATGACCTCCCTTTGCGTACCGCTTCAGTAGTTGTTTCGATTTTACCACCCTATTCTCTTTTAAATTATTAGTTAAGAAATGACCAGTACGTCTCTTATAGGCTGCAAGTCCTAAGTCATCTTTTAAAATACGCGACATGGTTCTAGGTGCTATCTTCATCTCCCGAGATAAAATCTTTTGCTTTCGAACAGGATTTCTTCGAATTCTTTCCCTTACTACTTTGACCACCTTTTTCGTACGAACACTACGTGGACGGCCAGATCTTTTTCTGTCACAAGCAGAGGAGGTCTCATTGCATCTATTAATAGCCCGGTACACAAACATTTTACTAATACCAAGCGTATGGAGAGTTTTAAAAATTGCATCTGGCTCCATACCTACTTTGTGTATGCATCACAGCGATTCGGTTCTCTTTATCACCCCACTCCATTTTAATATCGCAAAATATTGTACAATGTATTGGCGCCAAGATGAGAAAACTCAATGAGCAATCATAATTCATATAAAAATTACAGATTCCAAATTCAAATGTAATATTTTGTTTATTTTTAATTGTAACAGTATTTATGGCCAGACTAAGTATATATCTGTAGTTGAGAGCGTATGTATATCTTGACACGTTTCGCATCATTGTTATGCTAATTCGAGTAGCGTGTAATTGCTTTCATTATCAATGCGCCCATTATATGTTTGAGATAACGTAGATTGAACTAGAAACGTGATTCAGCGGACTGCTTTAGAATCTACGACGTATTCTCTTTCAACCCACTGAGTTTCTCGGCGGATCTTCTCAACGGGTCGCGTTTCCGATACGGTGGTACTGCCGCGGCTTTATGTTTTCTCTGCCTAATCGTTGGTAGCCTAAGGGACTAATTACTCACGGACCGGTAAACGAGCTCACGGGCTCAACCTGAGAGAGCTCGCTAACACTAGCCTTAGCAAGAGCAGTGCTTCGCTGAATCTAGTCCACTGAGTTTCTCGCCGGATCTTCTCAGCGGGTCGCGTTTCAGATCCGGTGGTAGATACTGCGAAGCACGGCTCTTGTTAGGGTTCGTGTTAGCAACGTCAGGTTTGAGCCCCGCGAATTCACCTACTGCTTCGGTGAATCTAGAATAACCCCTCAAGGCTACTAGAATAGGTAGGAAAAGAAACCTGAATCTACCGTTGGATCGGAATCGCGACCCACCGAGAAGATCCGGCGAGAAAATCAATGGGTTGCGTCTAAGTGAAGTGCGTGTGTTGTTTCATTCAACATATGTCCGATTTCGCTCGTTCTACGTGAGCCCTCGCGCTGATAACTGATAAAAAGTATAAACCGCAACCTATTTATTGTATAAAGCGAACGTTACTAATATTAATTACCATCAAAAACACACGAACTTTAAAGTTGCATGGGAAACTTAATGTACCCAAACTTAAAATAATATATCAAGGGATGAAAGGCTATTTGATTTGAGCTACATTTTTGCAATTTTACAGGAAAGCCATTTAAAGTTTAAACATTTCGAAAAAATATTATGACAAAAAAAACCTAATTAAATTTCAACTATTTCATTTTTTTAATGCTTATATGGGTGGAGGAGGCCACAGCCGACCTGATGTTAAGTGCTTACTGGAGCTCATAGACATCTACAACGTAAATTCGCCACCCACCTTGAGATATGATCTAAGGTCTCAGTATCAGCTCAGCTGTTGTAAGCTGTCCCAGCCCCTTCGAACCGAA